TCTATCATAGGGTTTAAAAACGAACTTAACAACATTAACAATCCTAAATTGCCGTAGTAACGTCATGTTTGGTTCAGTTGATCTATTACCATATAAGACATTCACTTCTCCATGCGTAGTAAACTATATCCTATTTCTCCTGTAATCAACTAAAATCATAGCCACGCAATTAAACCATCACTCCGCCATTATCAGAATGAATGAATCTATTAATATATCCTTTCTAAGTAAGCTACAAGTAACACCAAACACTTGCTGTAGTATACCATTATATATTGAAATCATCCATTTATCACAATCCAATTTATCTATAGACATATTTCACCATTGTCACTCGTTTAATCTAGCAAAACCTCATTCGATGACTAAAAATTATTACCACGTAGTCTCCTCTCCGTTAACATTTTAGTCCTTTAGCAGATGCTCTTATTCCAAGCGACTCACAATTAGTGTGCTCATACATTATTATACTTATACTAGCCCCCCTTGGGAATCGAACACCCAACCCTGGCGTTGTAAGCACCGTGCTCTACCAACTGAGCTACATAGGACCACAGATGAGCGTATAGTGCCTTTTTCTGATAATATTATAATTGTAAGCTATTGCTAATTACTGTAGGCTAAAGTAATTACTAATTACTTTAGTTTAAAATATAAGTTTGTTTACTCAACAAATCTAGAACCCACTATAGCATAATAGCCAAAGCTTCTTGCATCCCCTAATTCACATAACGAAAATACATTATCATTCTAGAATTCAACTATTCGCATACATTACTGATGTCACGCAAACCATAGAATAAAGTAATAACAATTAGAATTTTGTCAAATAAATGTTTTCCATCCAACTATTCAAACTTTCTTTAAATAACTCTTTCAGCTCGATACTGTCAAACAAGTATGACTCTCTTTTTACCGGAAACTAATTCATGGCATTAGTAAAATCTATTCACATCTCAACAATAACTAATAATATATGTATATTCATAATATTAAAATACCTTACTTTCATTCCTGTCTACCTAAACAATTCAAATTATGGCCATAACTTTATCGCAATTGACAGTACGCTTATTTAGACTATAGTCTCTCCTCACTCCTTCCCGTTGAATAAGTGAGTCCTTCAGTCTGAAAAGACGCAGGCTACTAGATCTTCCAATCTTATCCTGACTGTTCCTTCAATCTAAACAACCCACAACTATAGCTAAACTATACTTAGAAAACCTAGACTCTGTTCAGCGATGCAGAATCTATGCTTTATTGAAATGACAAGTTAATCCTCCTTTATTCCAATGATAATGGTCAGTAGTATTAGTATCTGGCACATACCACACTTTATCAGAAAATAGCTTTGAAGGACACAGATCTCACACGCTCAACGTAATCAACTTAGCAGTCAACAAGTCAAACCCCACATTCATTGATTTGGAAAAAGATCTAACGACCAACCAAATGAATTATATATCTGCTTCTGAATTATAGATAGTTTATTACAATGCTTAATTCTACCACGTCCTATGTACTCTCTCCCATTTCCACATCCGTCTACGTGTTTGAGCAAGTCAACACCTATAATTTTATCCAATCCCTCGTATTTACCACACTCACATAAAATTCATAATATTCCAATTTATTCATATCTACCAAACCATTCATGTTTCTAATTATTCTTTATTGTCACAAATCAGTTAATCACCATCTAGTCTCAGCGGAACAAACAACAAATTACCCAAATCCTTTCCCTCAGTCATAGAATCCTCCTAGAATCATATATGCTGGTCACTATACCCTAATCTTACAAAATTCTATGACAGGCATTGTTGTACGAAACTCCAAGATATAATTTACAAGAAAAACTTATTATTTCAATGTATTTATAATTATCAAACACACCTCTATATCTCATCATTCAAACTTCAGAGTGCGACTAATTTACATCATTATACCACTTTTATTCCATATTTATACAATGTTGTTCTTAAACGCCCTTAATTACTTTGTATAACCTACAGGAATATTTTATTCTATCAAAAGGCCCAAATTTGGAATGTTAACCCTATCCTAGTCATTATTTTACTGTAGTCAATTTATCATAATACTGCATCACCTCTAAAGTTTCTAAATATAATGTCAGAAACATACCCTAACAGATTTATCAAAATACAATGCATAAACGTCATATGACCACACCGATACACGTGACCTGTTCCTCCAACAGGATTTATTCTACCCCTCCTGGTAACGTGAATTTTCTACACTCAGTTGGTCAATGAATATCCACGCTCCATTCACTCTTCCTCTCTTGGTGTGAGACCGGGTGCGTCCTTCCTACCAGGTTATACTCAAACAGCGGTCCAGGACAGGTGCGCCAACCTTTCTCCACCAAACACCGACACTTCAACCGACCTCAAACACAGCTTCTCTCCTCAACACAGAAAATAAGCTGTTATCTGCAGGATTTCTTATTATTCTCATTCATATAGATGAGCAGCCACTTGTGCCCAAATGAATCAGACAGTTGAATGACTCACAGCCGCCCAAGCAACCCATTCCCCATATGAGATGAGCAGACCTACTCTTAGTTAACACTTTGTCAAAATGTTTAAGCCCTTGTGACTATTTAACCCGTTCACCTACTCAGGATGACCTAACTTTTTTACCTGATCAACCCTACCTAATATTGGCATCATCACAACCCAGGATGATTCCCTACCTACCTGTGCAGACCTCCAACAAAGAATTCCTCATCAGAGCGGTATCCGTAAGTAGCCACCTGCCCGTTCAGTCCCCTGGAATGCTAATTTTAGCTCTCCAAAGCGGTATCCACAGGATTTCTATTTATTTAGCCCCCTAGGTATTACACTTCCTCAACACACCTGGACTTCTACTACGCTTTCCTAAGCGACCTGTCAATTCTGCCCTATTTTTTCTGTTACACTTTCTCAACACAGAAAAAGAAGCGATATTACCCAGGATTTCTGCCTACCTAAGCAGTCCTCAAGACGATTCACTTCCCCCAACACGTCTAAAGCGGTATCTGCAGGACTTAACATGTTATTGTCTGATCGCTCAACCAGCTGTACAACCACCCGTGTCGAAATGACCCAGACAAAGCGATCAGCAAGATGAATCAAATGAATCAAATGAATCAAATCAATTGAACAGATGGTTCAGACAAACAACAGCGACATGTATTCTTAAATTCAAAAGTCCCTAGTCTCTAATTTTCTGGTTCTTAAATTTGGAGAGACCTACTTGGTATTTCTTTAGATGTTGCAGAGCCCCAGATCGGACCACACAAACGTTATACTATTTAAGTAAGAACTTGGCTTACCTTTTAAAAGCGGCCGCTTTTGTTTGTATGGTCCGTCCAAGCCGTTTCACAACTGCAAATGTATACCGTCACTGATCCCTATCAAGTCCCATCTGGGGTGCCAATTATGTCGTAGAAACATTGGACTAGATAATCAACTCAAAAATATCTCTCAAGACATCGGAGCCTGTGAATTCAAGAATTAGACTTTATTGCAGAACAAAGCCAGAGTTTGCTCCATGGAACAAACTATTCCTTTCTGGCTTAAAGATCTCTTATATCCACACAAATGAAAAAAACATTCGTACATTCCTAACTTTTTTAAGTTCTGTACCACCCCTCTCATTCTATCATTCTATTGGCTGCGTGCTTAGGCCCCTTCTTAAAAGCCCCTTCTTAAAAAAACTAATATAATGCATACCATATGTCTATAACAAACCCATGGCCACAGTTTAAGAGCCCCTGTGAAAGAACACATGCATTCATTTAAAACACAGCATATACTCCATGTCTATATTACTTATTTAAACATGTATCTGGATTATAAAATATCAAACATGTTCATTCTGTTTCACCATTATCATTTCATAACACATTATAAAACATTTATCATTCATCATCCTCCCCGGCCCCTGAGATTATGTGCATGTGGCCATGTGTCAGGTCATAAGGTCATAAGCATAAAGAAATGCTAACACTAGTTCCATTGTTACTTCAATCTCCACACAGCCATCACGTCATTGACATTCCCAGACCAGCTGCAGGGAGTTTTTATGAAAAACACATAAATGTCTCTGCTCTGTATTCACCCTTCAACTGGTTCTCAATCCATAAACATTTTAAGGCATATAGGTTTTTAATTTTACAACATATCCATGCTTATTACTAATATTATTATTTTACCTTTAACCTCTCCCTACATTTGCCTTAATGATACATAAAATAATACCATAATACCAGATGCATATTCGTTTTGTTTTGCCGGATGTCTAACACACATGCTTTGTTTTTCAACTAGCTAAAAGCTAGCTAGTTGGAGTCTGTGTGTGTAGGCCTACTTCCATTTGTATCGCCATACGGTAACGCAACGCACAAGTTGCAGCACCCCCGACGTAGCGTTGCTCCATTGACAATTAATTACTTCCGCCGGAATGCAAAGAGTTTGCTGCATCTGGTGTTTGCTGCATAATAATAATACAATTAAAAATCCCTTATTTTTTTGTTTCCCCTAACCCTACCACCCCTCCCCTAATTGGAGTAAACTAATGGAGAGAGAGCTAGCTATATTTCATTGTATTTTATTCACTTTCACTTACTTAGCTAGCTAATGCAGCTAGCTAATTTAGCCTACTCAAACACCTGGCTCAAACAGAGAGGGATGCTAGGTTAGCTAGCTGGCTCAGGCTATCCAACACTGGAGCTCTTCCAAGGCAAGGTAAGCTTCCAGTTTTATGAATTTATTGCCACCGGGATCTGCCAATGTAACTGCTAAACTGCTTGCTGTACACTGTACTGCATGATTGTAGCGGGTTTACTAACGCATTAGTTCTAGTAGCTATGTTGACTATGACATTAGCTAATATGGTGACAACGACGTAGGCTGTTGTCCCGCTTTCATTTATTACAGTAGATAACAGGTTTTCCTGAAGTAAAGTGTTGGTTGGCTTCAGAGTCGAATGGGTTTGGATCAGTCCTCTTGAATGTGTATGGGGTTCATAACTGTGGTCGTGGCATCCTGGAACAAGGGATTGTTGGTCTGAAACAAACACAAAAGGACCAACAAGAGATACGTTTAGTACAGAGCGAGCATCATGTTATCAACAACCAATGTCAACACTTAACATTACAAATCTTGCATAAAAGACTCATTAAGTTGATTATTTGCTTTAAAAATCAATGGCAAAACAACAATAAGAAGACCAAACACATTCACAAATAATGATAAAATCCACTATTCATACAATAAACTATGAGACTGAGAACAATAGACAGTTATTTGGTTATGAGAAGCGACCAGTTAACGCAGGGACATCTAGCCTATTTGACATGTCATGGTGATTAATTGTCGTGTGTACTGTTCTTTCTCTCACATCTTTCCAGACTTCGGTCTCCGTTGCTTTGAGGAAGCTGGCGTACTCTCTCCGGTAGTGGAGCTCCAGCATCAGCCTGCTGATGAGGATCACTGCGATGCTGATGAAGATGATGCTGGACACCGAGCTGCCAATGATCACGTAAGTCTTGTCAACAGAGCCTGCCAGGGATGTGGAGAGGAAGAGTTTGTAGTAGAACATGTGTCCTGACTGGGCCCCAGTTTTCCTGCTCAGGTCACGTGGTAAGGAAAACTAGCCCAAATGATAATACATTTACATTTTAGTAATTTAGCAGACACTCTTATCCAGAGGGACTTACAGTTAGTGAGTGCATACATTATTTGTTTTATTTGTCATACTGGCCCCCCGTGGGAATCGAACCCACAACCCTGGCGTTGCAAACGCCATGCTCTACCAACTGAGCTACATCCCTGCCGGCCATTCCCTCCCCTATCCTGGACGACGCTGGGCCAATTGTGCGCCGCCCCATGGGTCTCCCGGTCGCGGCCGGCTACGACAGAGCCTGGATTCGAACCAGGATCTCTAGTGACCACTGCGCCACTCGGGAGGTGGCTTTAAATATTTAACAAACTTTTTGTCTAATTCAAAACATCTTTGATCAAACAACTATAGCAGAATAGGTCAGAATAAGTATGTCATAGGAGTGATCTTTTTTAGGTGTGACTAAGAGCTAGCAATGTTATGAATTGCTCCAATGAGCAGTGAGAATATAAATGGTAAAAACAGTAAGCCAGTTGGATACATAGCCATGTAAAATCTTGATAATAAAGGATAATGATTAGAGATTAATTTAAGGTCTCACGGGGCAGATCTGCGTAGAGGACCAGGATGTTGCCGTCAGGGAACAGCTCCACTTTGTAGGAGATGGTGTCTTCTCTGCAGGGGAACTCCTGTGGTCCCTCCACCCAAGTCGGCTTGACTGAGCCACATGGTCGGCTGCAGTTACTCTTTAGGCCGTCACTTTCCTTAATGGCCAATTCACACGTCACACAGGCCCTGGAAATGTTACATAAAGACAGGTTAACAGGCATACTGAAGATACACAAGCACACACACAGACACTGCATTATTGTAATGTTAAGTGTTCCTGTAAGGTCACAATGGTAGTACTAAACTTTGGCAACCTGGAAACTCAATCCAAAATGACTAAGTTATTTTCTTGTACTCACAGGAATTTTGGGCATGCATTAGCAATCTTTGAGCAGTTCATGCCAAATAAGTCTTTGTTGCACTGGCACTGGTTACACAGGCATGTTCCCTGGCCATTGCACAGCTTCCCAGCAGTCCTGCACTGGTCGGTTCGGGTGGAGCAGTCACACGCAGAGCCTGTGTAGTTGGTATGACACTTACATGTTCCGCAGTCACACTGCCCATTACCTGCAGGAGACAGGCGGCAAAAGTTGTCAAACACGGCTGAAAAATGGGCTGCAATAAGGTTCAGCTTTAAGGAACACATTCTTAACCAATCAAAATGCATGGCCCGAACTAACTGTTTTAGTTTACTCACCACCGCAGAGCATGTTGTTGTGGCGGGCACAGCTGTTGTCATCACATTGGCAGAAATCACCGCGGTGGGTGCCCTGGCACACACATATGCCACACTCACAGCTCCCGTGCCTGCTGCATAGCAGCGAGGAGTTGTCTTGGCGACATGTTGCGTCCATAGAGTCGGCAGAGATCATGTCCTTAGGTTGCTCACACTCACACCTCTGACCCAGGTGACCCTCGTCACAGCTAAAGGGCACATCATTTTACAAAAACTATTAAAAAACTGGGAAAAACAAAAGGACTTATGGCCTATAATTTGGGCCAGGAGTTTTTTCTGGTCAGGTCACGTAGTCAGGGAAGTGTCGTGGAAATTCTAATCAATAATGAGGAAGGACAAGGTCAATCACCAATCAGGATATTACTTTACTCAAAACGTATTAATAAGGCAGCAGGTCACACCACCCACACACATGAATAGAGTGAGTGCTCTGTAATATTGAGGTTGGTCGACCCCACACTCTGAAGTGTGATGCCGAGAGCTCTGACATACAAAGAATACAAATATATTTTATAGCAAAGATACACCCTCTTAGTCTACATGACAAACAGCAGATGTGTTAGGTTAGGATTTGTATGAAATAAATGAATAATAATTCACAGCAGACAGTATCTGCTGTGAAGACTGTTCTCATTGTATGGAAACAAGGATTTGGCCTCCAAGACGAGGTTCCTCTCATTATTATCCATACCCGAGCCATCTCCCCCTGGTACCTTACATTACACAAACACCAACTCATTCTATGGAATGCATGCTGTAGGTTTTATCACCAAACCATTCATAAATCAATTGTCAGCTCCAGATACCCCTATCTCGAGTAAAACCCATGTCCTTGACCACACGCCTAGACTAGCTGCAGGGAGCTGGAGTAGAAACCATCCCTTTACAAAAACACAGCATTAGTAGAACAGAAATATACATACTATTTGTTAAGTATATATTTGTTAACTGTTAATATTAAACAAAGCAGGTAAACATGTTACATGTTAATTTGTCTTTCACAGAAGACTCCTAGCCCTACTCATCAGTATCTCAAAAACACTTTAATCACTGTAACAATTGATAACTATTAGCCTGAATCCCCTGAAGTTTTGATTGTGAGAACTTTAATATTTTATACATTCATTTAACTATAGAAATTAGCTTACTGCTATGTGGTAACAGTCAAACTGCAGTCTGCAGCTGTTTCCCTTACTGTTTACCATTTGTAAGCACAGTTCTCTATCTCACCAACCAGGAGGTGCTGTGAGTTCTAGTCATAATTTGAGGACTTGCCTGCAGATTCCGCAGGTGATCATTCCCTTTTCATTGCAGTGTGTGGACTGCTGTTCTCTATCATGGCAGTCACAGTCACACAGGGTTTCCACAGAGACCTTCAGGGTCTCGCTGATGCCCTGCAGTTTGAGGAAAAACTGCTTCTTCTCCTTCAGACATTCTCCGTCAGACGTTGAAATATTCAGACTCACTGTGAAGTCAACCTGGGAGCAAGGGAGAGGTTAATACACGACAAATTGGTATGTAACACAAGTCCTATACAGTATACCATTAAATAAAGCCAGTGTGTGCAGTTTTTTTGTTGTTTTCAGCCATTGATATCAAGTGAACTTCTATTACATGACAAAATCCATTAAAGACATGAGGCTCCTTGTTCACATCTTGTTTTCACCCCCCACCCCTGCTTTGTGCCAGACCTGCTGGTTGAGCTTGATGTTCATGCACTCGCCCCTCCTCTGCCACGGGGTGTTGTCCCCTTCTCCAGGGGTGCAGTGGGATCTGTAGGTCACGTCCAGACCTGAAGGAGCTCCATGGTGCTCCAGTAACATAGTGGAGGACAGGTTCTGTGAACAGATATGCATTACTATAGATAGAAGAGTTGATGATATTACATTTTTGTCCATGTGTCCAATAAATGGAATTTCATTGCAAAGCCACAGTAATACGTTTGTTTGTAAGTAATACATTTGCAAAAGTAGTTAATATTTCTCTAGGCCTAAATGTCTCTATTCCTAGAGACATTTAGGCCTATCATGTATGAAACCTTAAAGTTACCACTAGGAAGATTTTACACATAATTTGTCAGTATGTTTTTCTACCTGTGAGAGCACAGCACACACTATATTCGTCAGTAGCTAACCATGAGGCCAGGGATTCTAGTGAAAATACGTATGAGAGCTAGTTCTACATTTACATTTACGTCATTTAGCAGACGCTCTTATCCAGAGCGACTTACAAATTGGTGTATTCAACTTATGATAGCCAGTGGGACAACCCCTTTTTTTGTATGGGTGGGTGGGGGGGGGGGGGTAGAAGGATTACTTTTATACTATTCCAGGTATTCCTTAAAGAGGTAGGGTTTCAAGTGTCTCCGGAAGGTGGTCAGTGACTCCACTGTCCTGGCGTCGTGGGGGAGCTTGTTCCACCATTGGGGTGCCAGAGCAGCGAATAGCTTTGACTGGGCTGAGCGGGAACTGTGCTTCCGTAGAGGTAGGGGGGCTAGCAGGCCAGAGGTGGATGAACGTAGTGCCCTCGTTTGGGTGTAGGGTCTGAGCAGAGCCTGAAGGTAAGGAGGTGCCGTTCCCCTCACAGCTCCGTAGGCAAGCACCATGGTCTTGTAGGAGATGCGAGGCACCAGACGGGCTGCAGCGTTCTGGATAAGTTGTAGGGGTTTAATGGCACAGGCAGGGAGCCCAGCCAATAGCGAGTTGCAGTAATCCAGACGGGAGATGACAAGTGCCTGGATTAGGACCTGTGCCGCTTTCTGTGTAAGGTAGGGTCTACCCTTTTAGTCTGCTGTGTGACTCATGGCCATAACCACAGACATGCTTTTATGTTCTCTTTTGAATATATATATTTTTGGTCATTGCAGCCTTTTGCCATTGAACTATTTCACAATTTTGCAGTAGCTTGGCACTAATTATTGTTAACTGTGTTCTAGGCTTGAGACCGTTTAGATACTCACATTGTAGGCCTCTGAGATGAGCTGGACCACGTTGCTGGAGTCGTTCTTCAGGACTCCCAGCACTGACTGAGGGATTAGTTTACTCAATGCCTAGAGAAGTGTGTGTGTGTGTGTGTGTGTGTGTGTTTAGGTATGGGCACAACAGAGAGAGATGGGCGGAGGTAGAAATACAGAGGTTAAACATTTTGTGAACTTTTGTAATCTGCTTTTACAAACTATCTCTCCTGTCATTCCTGACCTTGTAGGCAGCAACACTGTCCTCGGTGACAGCAAAGATGAGCTGGATGTTATTGTCTGCCAGGACCCTGGTGAGCTGGCCAACCGAAGGGTAGTCCTTAGACACAACAAATGTCAGCCCCTATCACTGAAACAAGTGATCTATCACTAAGTGTTGATCATCCCATCCCTCTGTTGATAACTCACATATTTAGTGCCTTCATAAAAGCCGCTGCCATTGAGATGGCACTTCCCATCATGAGGCTCGAATATCCCAGCCAGCCTGCCGTCCCCGGCAATGTGGAAGGTGTCATCTGACGTGTAGACCAGGATCCGGGTGACATTGTTCCAACCAATCACACCCTGGAGGGAGGGAGGGAAGGAGGGAGGGAGGGAGGGAGGGAGAGAGAGAAAGAGAGAGAGATAAATAGAAATGGACGTTGTAGACATCCGTGGAGCAGACTGGTCTCCTAGACTAGACGTAACATAATAAATGTAAATCCGGGACACTCAAATTAGTAATATATTTTATGTTTTGGTATGGTTTCATAAGACAGAAGGTTACTTAAGGCAAAAACTAAAGGAGGGCGGTTGGTCGGGGTGGATGGGTGGGCGTATATAACATCCAGCAACCCAAAAGTTGCGTATTTAAACCTCATCACGGACAACTTTAGCATTTGAGCTAATTAGCAACTTTGCAACTACTTCCTACTTTTTAGCTACTTTGCAACTACTTAGCATGTTAGCTAACCCTTCCCCTAACCCTAACCTTAACCATTTAACCTAAACCCTAACCTTAACCCTAACCCCTAGCCTAGCTAACGTTAGCCAGCTAGCTAATGTTAGCGTTAGTCACCTAGCCACCCCTAGCTAACATTAGACACAACAAAATGGAATTCGTAACATATGATACAGTGCCTTGCAAAAGTATTCATCCCCCTTGGCGTTTTTCCTATTTTGTTGCATTACAACCTGTAATTTAAATGGATTTTTATTTGGATTTCATGTAATGGACATACACAAAATAGTCCAAACTGGTGAAGTGAAATGAAGAAAATAACTTGTTTCAAAAAATTCTAAATAATAAATAACGGAAAAGTGGTGTGTGCATATGTATTCACCCCCTTTGCTATGAATCCCCTAAATAAGATCTGGTGCAACCAATTACTGTCAAGGGGTGCTGAAGGTGGGTGTGGTGCATGAATCAAGCGCAGGACGCAGAAGCTCAGTCCAAAAGACTTTAGTGCAATATTCACGTAGAAAATAAGCACAATAAGCCCGAAGGCGAAAATACGGCGCACACAGGCGTCAAACAAACGGCGCACTAACATGTGCGAAAAACCTCTCCAAAACACTGGAGGGAAGTACGTAGCTCCAACACAAAACAGAAGAGCAATCACACACAAAGACAAACACACACAACGAGAACTAAATAGGACACTAACGAGGACTAACAAGACACAGGTGTACAACATCAAGACAAAACCAAACGAACATGAAACATAGATCGGTGGCAGCTAGTACTCCGGGGACGACGACCGCCGAAGCCTGCCCGAACCAGGAGGAGGAGCAGCCTCGGCCGAAACCGTGACAATTACCGTCAGAAGTCACATAATTAGTTAAATAAAGTCCACCTGTGTGCAATCTAAGTGTCACATGATCTGTCACATGATCTCAGTACATATTCACCTGTTCTGAAAGTCCCTAGAGTCTGCAACACCACTAAGCAAGGGGCACCACCATGAAGACCAAGGAGCTCTCCAAACAGGTCAGGGACAAAGTTGTGGAGAAGTACAGATCAGGGTTGGGTTATAAAAAAATATATGAAACTTTGAACATCCCATGGCGCACCATTAAATCCATTATAAAAAAATGGAAAGAATATGGCACCACAACAAACCTGCCAAGAGAGGGCCGCCCACCAAAACTCACATACCAGGCAAGGAGGGCATTAATCAGAGAGGCAACAAAGAGACCAAAGATAACCCTTAAGGAGCTGCAAAGCTTCACAGCGGAGATTGGAGTATCTGTCCATAGGACCACTTTAAGCCGTACACTACACAGAGCTGGGCTTTACGGAAGAGTGGCCAGAAAAAAGCCATTGCTTAAAGAAAAAAATATTCAAACACGTTTGGTGTTCGCCAAAAGGCATGTGGGAGACTCCCCAAACATATGGAAGAAGGTACTCTGGTCAGATGAGACAAAAATTGAGCTTTTTGTCCATCAAGGAAAACGCTATGTCTGGCGCAAACCCAACACCTCTCATCACCCCGAGAACACCATCCCCACGGTGAAGCATGGTGGTGACAGCATCATGCTGTGGGGATGTTTTTCATCGGCAGGGACTGGGAAACTGGTCAGAATTGAAGGAATGATGGATGGCGCTAAATACAGGGAAATTCTTGAGGGAAACCTATTTCAGTCTTCCAGAGATGGCCTCCAAGACGAGGTTCCTCTCATTGGGACGAAGGTTCACCTTCCAGCAGGACAATGACCCTAAGCATACTGCTAAAGCAACACTCGAGTGGTTTAAGGGGAAACATTTACATGTCTTGGAATGGCCTAGTCAAAGCCCAGACCTCAATCCAATTGAGAATCTGTGGTATGACTTACAGATTCCTGTACACCAGCAGAACCCATCCAACTTGAAGGAGCTGGAGCAGATTTGCCTTGAAGAATGGGCAAAAATCCCAGTGGCTAGATGTGCCAAGCTTATAGAGACATACCCCAAGAGACATGCAGCTGTAATTGCTGCAAAAGGTTGCTCTACAAAGTATTGACTTTGGGGGGGTGAATAATTATGCACGCTCAAGTTCAGTTTTTTTGTCTTGTTTCTTGTTTGTTTCACAAAAAAAAGTATTTTGCATCTTCAAAGTGGTAAGCATGTTGTGTAAATCAAATTATACAAACCCCCTAAAAATCAATTTTAATTCCAGGTTGTAAGGCAACAAAATAGGAAAAATGCCAAGGGGGTGAACACTTTCGCAAGCCACTGTACGTTTTCAAATTCGTAACATATTGTAAATTTTGCAAATTCGTAACATATTGTATGAATTGCAATTCGTAACATATCATACAAAATGTATGATGGACATCCACAAATTAATACATACCATACGAAAGGTAACATATCATAGCCTCTATACAGGCTATGACATCCTAGCCTCTAGACATCCTAGCCTCTATACAGAGGTAATTGTGTTTGGTCATGTATGACAGTTCTACCTGGCAGACAGCTGCCTGCACGATGGCGTCAAAGCCAGCCTCGGGGGAGTCCAGGTTTCCAGAGATTATCTGGTTGCTGACCCTGGCCTTGAACTCTGCCACATCTTGGGTTAATCCCAGAATGTTCTGGAAGCTGAAGGCAGGTTGACAGGTGTTCAAGCGGCTGGGGCAGGGGTTGTTCTTCTTGTCCTTAACCTGGCTGACGTACGGCAGAGCCACCTTGTCCACAAATGAGCCAAAGCCTGATACCGGAGAGAGGAGAGGAATAGAGATGGACAGGATGAGGAGAGATGGCATAGTCAGATGACTACACACAGTTGACTGAAATCCTAACTTGAAATCCTTACTTCTGCAAAAGTCTGTCTCCTCAGCACTCACCTATGCGGACCTTCTTGGTTACGTTTTTCAGAGTAGAGAGGATGTCCTGGCCCAGATTCTTGATGGTTTCCAGGTCGTCCCTCATGGAGAAGGACAGGTCCATCAGGTAGTACAGGTCTATGGGGTAGCCCTCGGCTCTCTTGAATGACACACTGAAGGTCTGAGGGACTCCTGAAACCAGACGGGTCAGTTAGTACAGTTATGGCAAGCATGCATCAATAGGATCCTTAATACTGTTATTTCTAGTACTTCACACTTCTCAACAAATGATCAATAAAGCACCACCATGAATTTCTGATTTGGACCTGTCCTTGCTTGTTTACTGAGAAATACTGAGCAGCTGCTGTGTAGGAGTCATATAATTCTCACCGACTCTGAGTTTGAAGAGGAGGTTTTGTGGCTTAAGCTGGACCACGTTGTCTGGGTTGCTGCTGAGCTCATTGTTCTTCAGGAAGACCAGTTCTGATTGGGGATTGATGATGTCTGTCTGCTCACAGCGCCTGGTCCTAAGAGACTCAACAGTGTCACACCTCCGCTCAGTGGACTCCCCAGACTTCAGGAAGTCCTGTCAGGAGGATAGGTATTATGGTCTTAGTTCAGTGTGTCGGACTAATGATATAGACAATAAAACTCCTACCAGTGGGGTGCCAGGTAATCATGTGGGCCTGCCTCCTGTCAGTCATACAGATTGGGGTACATCTCCGTTTAAGGCTTAGAATTCTTACACAAAAACATTGTTATTATCTTTAAATATACATAGGACATGCCATTATGATACAGGGGACCTATAGATTAGACTGTTGCTTTGGAGAAGGGGGTTAGATTGCAAGGAGAAATGACAGAGAAGTTAAAGTCAAAAGCCAACAAACATTTGAATGTAGGCTACCACCAATATCTTGACTCATGGTAGAAAGAAAAAAAGCAGTCAACAACATAAATGACACAGAGAAATAAATACAGCTAGTTTAAAGTATTCAAAGTAAAAGTCTAACACCAGTAGCATGACCCGTCACAAGAAACCACAGGGAGCTGCAGCAGCACAATACACAATTCAAATATCAACTGCAAACCGAGAGCAGGTTAGAGAATGAGCACCCAAGGTAAGACATGAGCACCCAAGCGAGACAGTGTGTTTACTGATTCTGATGAAGGCAATTGATGGCCGAAACATCATGTTTTTAACTTGAAATAATACAACCGTTTTTAATGTGAGCAAGAGTCACACCGTGTAGCGGGTGATTTGGACGGAGTCAGGCGCAGGAGGGTAAATCACAGAATAAATGGTTTATTCGGCAATACAGCGGTACGCAGCAATGCGTAAAACACTCCAGTACGGTATTACGGCGCACTGGAGAAAACAAGGCACACTGGTGAATATCCCGGCGACACACAATACAATATAGCTCCACCGAGCTGTAGTAACCTCCACAATAAACAATCACACACAAAGACATGGTGGGCAGAACACTTATACAGGTACTGATGATGGGATATGAACCAGGTGTGTGTAATAAACAAGACAAAACAAATGGAATGATGAGATGAAGAGCGGCAGTGGCTAGAAGACTGGGGACGACGAAGGAGAGGAGGCAGCTTCGGAGGATGTCGTGACACACCGATTCTCTTTAAATATCCAAGCGAGATAAGCATGAGATAAGATTTGTCCTAAAAAAAGGCTTCCAAAAGGGTTTTGGACTTTCCCCATAGGAGAACACTTTTTGGTTCCAGGTAGAACCCTTTTTGGTTCCAGGTAAAACTATCTATTTTGGGTTCCATGTAGAACCCTCTGTGGAAACGGTTCTAAACAGAACCCAAAGGGGTTTTACCTGGAACCAAAAGGGTTCTAAAGTGCCATCCCACTGGTCAAAAACTGGTTGAATGAACATTGTGCCATGTCATTTCAACCCAAGAAATCAATGTGATGACGTTGAATCAACGTGGAAAACTAATTGGATTTGCAAAGTCGTCAACGTAAGGGCATTTCATATTTTTTTCACCCAACTTTTTACCTAAATCCAATGACATGGTAAAATGTTTTGTTGATTTCACGTTGAATTCATGTTAGTTGACAACTCAACCAAATGTAAATCAAAACAATCCGTTGAACTGACGTCTGCGCCCAGTGGGATGATACGCTCAGTAATTTGATACTAGTATAAATGGCTGAGGATCTAGAGAAAGAGGATACTCTGACAGTTATAACCTTTTTCTTTAAATGTATAACAATGTGAAGGAGGAATTGAAACATTCACTTGACCTAACTGGCTAATCTCTCACACCTCTTATCACCAGGAGGTCAAGAGTTGTTAGTGTTTGACACGTCACGTGACCTCTTCCACCACTAAATATAAAAGGTCCTGTATAATTCAACCCATACCTGTAAGTAAAATGTCTGCCAAACCGTAGAAGCTGTTGAAAACATTTGATGGGAAAACGCTTGATGGGACTTCATTGTCTAAGATCTCACCAAAAATGCACAAGTATATCACCATTCAGACCGCAATGAAGACCTATAGTATGTTGGCTCCTATTGTAAGTAGCTCCTACAGTGGCCCTAATGTCGTTGTCCCTACATGTTGTCTACAGAGATGGGGCCCATCAGAGAGACATAAATCAACTCACAAAGCACTCAAAGGCCCTTGAGTCCAAGAACTAAAAGTAGAGAAAGTATAGCAACACTCAAGGATAAAACATGATACAGTTTTAAACAAATACAGGCAGCAGCAGCAAGTTAGTGGATACATGATAAGGCTGACCTTGTGTTTGCACCAGGCACATCCCGGGCTCCTCAGGCAGGCTGAACATGAGGGCTGGGACACACATACTTGGGGGACCCCTGACACACCAGACACAACAGTGACATATTTAATGACCGCTGACTCTCTCAGACACAAACACACAGCAGAGATTGAGGAGAATGTGTTTGCTCTCATAACAGACCTGCCATTACCCATGTATGCCTTGTCAATTCAGAAAGTGAATTCTAATTCACTAATTCAACAATTGCAAAATCCTAATTTGGAATTAAATGACACTTCAATTCAATTTAAATGGGATACCCCCAACCCTGACTAGTAGTTGTAGATGAGACTTACCTTGAATTTGGTTCTGTCCGACACAGTACAAGAGAAAGGTTCCTAATAGAAAGACGCCAACCATTGCCTGAGGATAGAGATCGAATGAGTAAGAGACAGACAGAGAGGATTAGGACGTTCTTCTGGATAGAAAAAGTCAAGAGAGAGTTGTGAGAAGACAGGAAGCAGGAGGCAGAGACAGAACACAGCAGACAAGTCACTTCCCCTTGAGTTCTTACAAATTGTCAACCACATACCCCACAAACTTTATTTTCTGAAGTTTCTGTAGTCGGTGCTCTTGGAAACAAGAAAAATAATCCACAACCAATTTTGAGCCACTAGTTTGAAACCAGAGGCTTTCTTCAATCTCCTTCATGTGAGAAATGAATCTCAAATGTCACGCTCTGGCTCCGGGACTTTGTTTGTTGAGCCAGGGTGTGTTCGTTTTGTTGTGTTTTGGTTGTAGTGTCTTGTTTGGTCAATGACTCCCAATCGGAGGTAACGAGTGTCAGCTGTCGGCTCGTTATCTCTGATTGGGAGCCATATTTAAACTGTGTGTTTTCACCTTGTGGTTGTGGGTTTTTGTTCCATGTTCAGTCATTGTCACTGTGGACTTCACTATCGTCATTTGTTTTGTTGTTTTCGTGGTTGCTTTAATTTAATAAAGTCAACATGTTCGCTAAACACGCTGCGCCTTGGTCCGCTTCCTTAGACGATCGTGACAGAAAAACCCACCAAAAAAGGACCAAGCAGCGTGTCCAGGAGCAAGGAGACTGGACATGGGAGGAAGCGCCGGGTAAGGAGATCGAGAGGCTGGCGATGGCCCAGGTGGGCAAATCGTGGTCCTGGGAGGACATGCTCGGGGGCAAGGGACCTTGGGGGAGGATCAAGGCCCTGGCGAGAGAGGAGCAACGGCGTCAGCAGGGCCATCGTCGGAGGGACGAGAGGCAACCCCAAAAAGTTTTTTGGGGGGGGCACATGGCTTGGGCGGCTGGGCAGCAGGAGGCTGCCACAGGGAGAAGTGGAGAGAAGGCTACCGGATTACGGGAGCCATTGGCGAGTAGAGGGAGGGAAGTAGTTGAGGCACGGCGTAAGAGACTGAGGTGTGTTACCAGTCCGGTCCGGCCCGTTCCTGATCCCCGGTTAAGGCCAGTGGTGTGTGTTCCCAGTACGGACCGGCCTGTTCCTACTCCACGCATCAAGCCCACGGTGTGCGTCGCCAGTCCAGCCCGGCCGGTTCCTGTTCCACGTACAAAGCCTACGGTGTGCGTGGCCAGCCCAGCCCGACCTGTTCCTGCTCCACGTACTAAGCCGAAGGTGTGCGTCGCCAGCCCAGCCCGGCCTGTTCCTGCTCCACGTACGAAGCCTACGGTGTGCGTGGCCAGCCCAGCCCGACCTGTTCCTGCTCCACGTACTAAGCTGAAGGTGTGCGTCGCCAGCCCAGCCCGGCCTGTTCCTGCTCCACGTACGAAGCCTACGGTGTGCGTGGCCAGCCCAGCCCGGCCTGTTCCTGCTCCACGTACGAAGCCTACGGTGTGCGTCGCCAGCCCAGCCCGGCCTGTTCCTGCCACCCGCACCAAGTCTACGGTGCGCGTCGCCAGCCCGACCCGGCCTGTTCCTGCCACTCGCACCAAACCTACGGTGCGCGTCGCCAGCCCGGTCCGGCCTGTTCCTGCCACCCGCACCAAGTGTACGGTGCGCGTCGCCAGCCCGACCCGGCCTGTTCCTGCCACTCGCACCAAACCTACGGTGCGCGTCGCCAGCCCAGTCCGGCCTGTTCCTGCCACCCGCACCAAGTCTACGGTGCGCGTCGCCAGCCCGACCCGGCCTGTTCCGGCCACTCGCACCAAACCTACGGTGCGCGTCGCCAGCCCGGTCCGGCCTGTTCCTGCCACTCGCACCAAGCCAAGGGTGCGAGTCGTCAGCCTGGTCCAGCCCGTTCCTGCTACTCGCACCAAGCCAGGGGTACGAGTCGTCGGCCTGGTCCAGCCCGTTCCTGCTACTCGCACCAAGCCAAGGGTGCGAGTCGTCAGCCTGGTTCAGCTCGTCCCTGCTACTCGCACCAAGCCAAGGGTGCGAGCCGTCAGTCTGATCCAGCCCATTCCTGCTACTCGCACCAAGCCAGGGATGCGAGTCTTCAGCCTGGTGAGGCCTGTTCCGGCTCCACGCACCAGGCAAAGGGTGCGTATCGTCTGCCAGTTCCGGTCCATTCCTACCTCACGCGCCAAGCCAGGGGTGCGCGTCGGAGGTCCTGATCCAGCAAGCTGGGTCAGATCGGACTGGGGGCACTACGGGGGGATTGAAGAGGGGTGGTGGTCAAGCCCGGAGCCGGAGCCGCCTCCGAGGAACAACACCCACCCAGCCCTCCCCTGTTTGGGGTTTTTGAGGCGCGGTCGCAGTCCGCGCCTTTAGGGGGGGGTACTGTCACGCTCTGGCTCCGGGACTTTGTTTGTTGAGCCAGGGTGTGTTCGTTTTGTTGTGTTTTGGTTGTAGTGTCTTGTTTGGTCAATGACTCCCAATCGGAGGTAACGAGTGTCAGCTGTCGGCTCGTTATCTCTGATTGGGAGCCATATTTAAACTGTGTGTTTTCACCTTGTGGTTGTGGGTTTTTGTTCCATGTTCAGTCATTGTCACTGTGGACTTCACTATCGTCATTTGTTTTGTTGTTTTCGTGGTTGCTTTAATTTAATAAAGTCAACATGTTCGCTAAACACGCTGCGCCTTGGTCCGCTTCCTTAGACGATCGTGACATCAAAGCTAAACCAAACCTTATTTATACTTCAGAAACATTCCCCTGAAGTTCCTATATTGGTATAATCACACGATAGGATGAAAGAATTATAGTGATTTGAATATCACTCTTACGTTTACAAACACATACTGAACAAAAATATAAATGCAACATGCAAAGTGTTGGTCCCATGTTTCATGAGCTGAAATAAAAGATCCCAGAAATTGTCCATACACACAAAAAGCTTATTTCTCTCAAATGTATAGCAAAAATGTGTCCATCCCTGTTCATGTGTCCATCCCTGTTCGTGAGCATTTCTCCTTTGCCAAGATAATCCATCCGCCTGACAGGTGTGGCATATCAAGAAGCTGATTAAACAGCATGATCATTACACAGGTGCACCTTGTGCTGGGGATAATAAAAGGCCACTCTAAAATGTGCAGTTTAGTCACACAACACAATGCCACAGATCTCTTGAGGGAGCATGCAATTGGCATGCTGACTGCAGGAATGTCCACCAGAGCTGTTACCAGAGAATTTAATGTCCATTGCTCTACCATAAAACGCCTCCAACGTTGTTTTAGAGAATGTGGCAATATTTCCAACCGGCTTCACAACCGCAGACCACATGTAACCATGCCAACCCAGGACCTCCACATCCATCTGTTTCCCCTGTGGGATCGTCTGAGACCAGCGACCCGGACAGCTGATAAAACTGTGGGTTTGCACAACCGAAGAACTTCTGCACAAACTGTCAGAAACTGTCTCAGGGAAGCTCATCTGCGTGCTCGTCGTCTTCACCAGAGTTTTGACCTGACTGCAGTTCGACATCGAAAACAACTTCAGTGGGCAAATGCTCACTTTCAATGGCAACTGGCATGCTGGTGAACTGTGCTCTTCATGGATGAATCCCAGTTTCAACTGTACCGGGTAGATGGCAGACAGCAGGTATGGCGTTGTGTGGGCGAGCGGTTTGCTGATGTCAACGTTGGGAACAGAGTGCCCCATGGTGGTGGTGGGGTTCTGGTATGGGCAGACATAAGCTACGGACAACGAACACAATTCGATTTTATTGATGGCAATTTGAATGCACAGAGATGCCGTGACGAGATCCTGAGACCCATTGTCGTGCCATTCATCCACCGCCATCATCTCAAGTTTGATAATGATAATGCATGGCCCCATGTCGCAAGGATCTGTACACAATTCCTGGAAGCTGAAAATGTCCCAGTTCTTCCATGGCCTGCATACTCACCAGACATGTCACCCATTGAACATGTTTGGGATGCTCTGGATCGACGTGTACGACAGCGTGTTTCAGTTCCCGCCAATATCCAGCAACTTCGAACAACATTGAAGAGGAGTGGCACAACATTCCACAGGCCACAATCAACAGCCTGATCAACTCTATGCGAAGGAGATGTGTTGCATTGCATGAGGCAAATGGTGGTCACACCAGATACTGACTGGTTTTCTGATCCACACCCCTACTCCCCCCCCCACCCCCCCCTTTTTTTTCTCCCTTTTTCTCCCCAATTTCAATCTTGTCTCATCGCTGCAACTCAACCCAACGGGCTTGGGAGACAAATATCGAGTCATGCGTCCTCCGAAACGTGACCCGCCAAACCGCGCTTCTTAACACCCGCTTAACCCGGAAGCCAGCTGCACCAATGTGTCGGAGGAAACACCGTTCAACTGACGACCGAGGTCAGCCTGCAGGCGCCTGGCCTGCCACAAGGAGTCGCTAGAGCGCGATGAGCCAAGTAAAGCCCCCCGGCCAAACCCTCCCCTAACCCAGACGACGCTGGGCCAATTGTGCGCTGCCCTATGGGACTCCCGATCATGGCCGGTTTTGATACAGCCTGGGCTTGAACCCAGGTCTGTAATGATGCCTCTAGCACTGAGATGCAGTGCCTTAGAACGCTGCGCCACTCGGGAGGCCCCCTACCTTTTTTTTAAAGGTATCTGTGACCAACAGATGCATATCTGTATTCCCAGTCATGTGAAATCCATAGATTAGGGCCTAATGAATTTATTTCAATTGACTGATTTCCTTATCTGAACTGTAACTCAGTAAAATCTTTGAAATTGTTGCATGTTGCTTTTATATTTTTGTTCAGTATACTTTCTCATCCACAACTATACCCAACGTTTAAAAAAAAGCTGCTCATCCACCTACTTTACATACATTACACTTATACATTTCAAGGCCTGCTTTTGGACATTGCAGCCCCACATCTATGGGCCTCATCAAAGATATGCTCTCTCTCTCTCTCTCTCTCTCTCTCTCTCTCTCTCTCTCTCTCTCTCTCTCTCTCTCTCTCTCTCTCTCTCTCTCTCTCTCTCTCTCACACATGCACACATAGCAGATGTTCTGGGAAGGAAGTTGATCTGTCTGACTATGAAATGGGGCAGACATTGACTAGCACAAACCACAGACTGCAGATTACTTAGTGCAACTTTTCTGACTGGCTGACTGCCTGCAGTCACATAGAGGTCATCATATTGTGTACACACACACGCGTTTGGTACACTTTATAACATTTGTAACTGAAGGAGAAAGAGTAAAGAGGGAAATGGTCATGGTTAAGCCTTCATGACTCATAGAAACCAGGAGAACTTGCACTAGCAGGTGCCACGGTCTTCATCTCTTCCGTTAGTCTTCATCATCTCTGTGGACTCGAACCAGGATCTCTAGTTGCACAGCTAGCACTGCGATGCAGTGCCTTAGACCACTGCGCCACATATATACATATACACACATACACACCCACATACATACATACATACATACATACATACATACATACATACATACATACATATCCTTTAAAAATATATATATGTTCCCCTTTATTACTTTCCAACCCCGCCACCCTTACCCCACTTGGAGTAAACTAGTGAACAACAACGCCTAGGCCTCTACTTCCAGCCCATACCCACTATCTACATTTTATGGACACAGTCAATTTTACAATAATTACATTTTGTTTGTTCTTTCTCCTGATCTTCTTCTACTCTCAACCTCTCCGATCATTTTCATGATGTCCATCCGGTTTGCTTCTATATGCCACATCTTTCTAACTGTGCTCCTTCACAAAAGCTCCCAACCTACACACATACACTTATTATGGACACAGCGTGCCTACATTATTAGTTATCTTGTTATTGTTTGTTGTTAGTTGTTATTATTAGGCATCTTTTAATAACAGATTGTAGTAAAAAGACCCACAAAATGAGTCACATTTTCTTTGCAATGCATTGTTACCCTTTTATCACTAAACATTCAATATTCGATATTCATTAAACATAGTAAATTTAACATTATCTTTCATCATGTCATGCGTGTTACAAAAAATCTAAAAAAACATCCAGAAAACGAAGCAGAGCCTTTTATTACATATCCTAGTTCAGTTTCAATGCAAAAAAATAAGTCTTCATTTTGTAAACTGTTCTGCCATACAAACAGGGGAGAAAGCAGTGAGCCAGACACAGGAAACAGCCCACCGATAGTGTTTTTGTGGTACTGAGATAAAAGTGTTAGACTGACATGACTGAGAGCTCTGCACAGTATTGTTGCAGGGTTTTTGCAGAATGGTGTAGAATGACTTCTGTGATGTAGAACAGTTCAAAGCTCCACACAACAAACTGTATGTACAGTCTCTTCCTCATAACCACTAGGACTACACTGAGATGCTACACACATCTGTTGACTGAATGGTTGACTGTCACCATCCCTTTCTCTTCATAGGAGTGGGTGGGCCGAGGTGCAATACTAAGGATCGGTATGTACAGTACCAGTCAAAAGTTTGGACACACTTACTCATTCAAGGGTTTTTCTTTATTTTTACGATTTTCTACATTGTAGAATAATAGTGAAGACATCAAAACTATGAAATAACACATATGGAATCATGTAGTAACCAAAAAAGTGTTTTAATATATTCAAAAAAATATATTTTATATTTGAGATTCTTCAAATAGCCACCCTTTGCCTTGATGACAGCTTTGCACACTCTTGGCATTCTCTCAACCAGCTTCACCTGGAATGCTTTTCCAACAGGCTTGAAGGAGTTCCCACATATGCTTAGCACTTGTTGGCTGCTTTTCCTTCACTCTGCCGTCCGACTCATCCCAAACCATCTCAATTGGGTTGAGGTTGGGTGATTGTGGAGACCAGGTCATCTGATGCAGCACTCCATCACTCTCCTTCTTGGTAAAATAGCCCTTACACAGCCTGGAGGTGTGTTGGGTCATTGTCCTGTTGAAAAACAAATTATATTCCCACTAAGCCCAAACCAGATGGGATGGCGTATCACTGCAGAATGCTGTAGTAGCCATGCTGGTTAAGTGTGCCTTGAATTCTAAATAAATCACAGACAGTGTCACCAGCAAAGCACCCCCACACCATAACACCTCCTCCTCCATGCTTTACAGTGGGAACTACACATGCAGAGATCATAAGTTCACCCACACCGCATCTCACAAAGACACGGCGGTTGGAACCAAAAATCTCCAATTTGGACTTCAGACCAAAGGACACATTTCCACCTGTCTAATGTCCATTGCTCGTGTTTCTGGACCCAAGCAAGTCTCTTCTTATTATTGGTGTCCTTTAGTAGTGGTTTCTTTGCAGCAATTCGACCATGAAGGCCTGATTCAAACAGTCCCCTCTGAACAGTTGAGATGTGTCTGTGACTTGAACTCTGTGAAGCATTTATTTGAGCTGCAATTTCTGAGGCTGGTAACTCTAATGAACTTATCCTCTGCAGCAGAGGTAACTCTGGGTCTTCCATTCCTGTGGTGGTCCTCATGAGAGCCAGTTTCATCATAGCACTTGATGGTTTTTGCGACTGCACTTGAAGAAACTTTAAAAGTTCTTGAAATGTTCCGTATTGACTGACCTTCATGTCTTAAAGTAATGACGGACTGTTGTTTCTCTTTGCTAATTTGAGCTGTTCTTGCCATAATATGGAGATGGTCTTTTACCAAATAGGGCTATCTCATGTATACCACCCCTACCTTGTCACAACACAACTGATTTGCTCAAACGCATTAAGAAGGAAATAAATTCCACGAATTAACTTTTAAGAAGGCACACCTGTTAATTGAAATGAATTGCAGGTGACTACCTCATGAAGCTGGTTGAGAGAATGCCAACAGTGTGCAAAGCTGTCATCAAGGCAACGGGTGGCTATTTGAAGAATCTCAAATATAAAATATATATTTTTTGGTTACTACATGATTCCATATGTGTTATTTCATAGTTTTGATGTCTTCACTGTTATTCTACAATGTAAAAAATAGTAAAAATAAAGAAAATCCCTTGAATGAGTAGGTGTGTCCAAACATTTGACTGGTAGAGTATGTGTTTATGTGAGGTTGTGTTTATATGTGTGTGCTTATTTGTTTGTTTACATTTTGCCCCACTTGACTTGGCCTGTCTTCTTGATGACGTGCTCCATGGCAGCCATCTCAGAGGTGTCGATTTCAACAGTGTCATATTTGGCCAGGATTTTCAGGATGGGCCTTAGCCTCAGCCACCACTCCGTCTTTGGGATACGGTGCCTATGGAGGGAGGAGGGAAGGGTGGGGTAAGGGAGAAGAGGGGGAGGAGAGAGAGGACAGGGTGGTGGAAGAGGGGAGTGAGGAGGAGGAGGACAAAGGATCAGAGGAAGAAAACAGGAAATAGAGGAAAAATAATAAGGGAAATGCTAGAAGGAACATGGGCTGGCTTTCTGTGAGCAATCTGTTCAAAGAAACACTCAATGGTTCTAATTGGATTGGCACAGACTTCCAAACAACAGCACTTTCAACTTAACTACCATTGCTTGTCAGTAAAACCCAATTGAACTCAATGTGGAACATTGACGGGGATTTGGGCCTTGTCGGGTGTCTGTAGGATATCCTTTGCGGCCGCCTCGTTGAAGAAAAAATCTTCGTCCAAAACGAGGTGAGTAATCGCTGTCCTGATATCCAGAAGCTCTTTTTGGTTATAAGAGACGATGGCAGATGCATTATGTACAAAAAAAATTACAAATAACGTGGAAAAACACACATAATAGTACAATTGGTTAGAGGGCTGTAAAATGGCAGCCATCTTCTCTGGCGCCATTAGCACTCCACACTGCCCTTTCCCACCTGGACAAGAGGAACACCTACGTGAGAATGCTATTCATTGACTACAGCTCAGCATTCAACACCATAGTGCCCTCAAAGCTCATCACTAAGCTAAGGATCCTGGGACTAAACACCTCCCTCTGCAACTGGATCGTGGACTTCCTGACGGGCCGCCCCCAGGTGGTAAGGGTAGGTAACAACACATCTGCCACACTGATCCTCAACACAGGGGCCCCTCAGGGGTGCGTGCTCGGTCCCCTCCTGTACTCCCTGTTCACCCATGACTGCATGGCCAGGCACGACTCCAACACCATCATTAAGTTTGCCGACTACACAACAGTGGTAGGCCTGATCACCGACAACGATGAGACAACCTATAGGGAGGAGGTCAGAGACCTGGCCGTATGGTGCGAGGATAACAACCTCTCCCTCAACGTGACCAAGACAAAGGAGATGATTGTGGACTACAGGAAAAAAAAGAGGACTGAGCACGCCCCCATTCTCATCAACGGGGCTGTAGTGGAACAGGTTGAGAGCTTCAAGTTCCTTGGTGTCCACATCACCAACGAACTATCATGGTCCAAACACACCAAGACAGTCGTGAAGAGGGCATGACAAAGCCTATTCCCCCTCAGGAGACTGAAAAGATTTGGCATGGGTCCTCAGATCCTCAAAAAATTCTACAGCTGCACCATCGAGAGCATCCTGACTGGTTGCATCACCGCCTGGTATGGCAACTGTTCGGCCTCCGACCGCAAGGCACTACAGAGGGTAGTGCGTACGGCCCAGTACATCACTGGGGCCAAGCTTCCTGCCATCCAGGACGTCTATACCAGGCGGTGTCAGAGGAAGGCCCTCAAAATTGTCAAAGAATCCAGCCACCCTAGTCATAGACTGTTCTCTCTGCTACCGCACGGCAAGCGGTACCGGAGTGCCAAGTCTAGGTCCAAAAGACTTCTCAACAGCTTCTACCCCCAAGCCATAAGACTCCTGAACAGCTAATCATGGCTACCCGTACTATTTGCACTGCCCCCCCAACCCCACCCCCCACCCCATCTTTTTACGCTGCTGCTACTCTGTTAATTATTTATGCATAGTCACTTTAACTCTAACCACATGTACATATTACTTCAACTACCTCAACTAGCCGGTGCCCCCGCACATTGACTCTGCACCGGTACCCCCCTGTATATATAGCCTCCCTACTGTTATTTTATTTTATTTTACTTCTGCTCTTTTTTTCTCAACACTTTTTTGTTGTTGTTTTATTTTACTTTTTTATTAAAAATAAATGCACTGTTGGTTAAGGGCTGTAAGTAAGCATTTCACTGTAATGTCTGCACCTGTTGTATTCGGCGCATGTGGCCAATACAATTTGATTTGATTTGATTTTTGATTTGATGAATAGTCACAAACAGGAGGGAGAAGGAGGAGAGAAAGAGAAGGAGGTGTGGAAACAGAGGGAGGACTAGGACTTACTCAAAGTCAGTGTCGTCCTTGAGGGAAGCCAGGGGCTGGAAGACCAGGGATCTCTTTTTCATGCCCAGCACACAGGCAGAGTCTGGCATGTTGGCAAAGATACGACCTGGGACACAAAGAGAGCCAGCATCAGCGAAGGAGGGCAGTAGCCTGGCTGATCCCAGACCTGTCTGTATGGGATTTATCCAGCTCCTCTCTCATGGCAGGACAACAGTAGTCAGAGGAGTTGGATTAAACCCCTATCTAGGACCAGGCTGGGGGTAGTGGGCACAGAAGGTTATGAATCCATGTAAATGCATTATAGAGAGCAAGTTATGAAGACATTGTGCTTGTTGATGAAAAAAAAGGAAGAGTTATTTGCTCTAAGTATTGAGGTGATCGAAGAAATGAAGTGAATTCCATCTGCTTGAAGACATTTGGTCCAGTGTGTCAATATCCTCACCGTGTCTGTAGCACTCCTTCAGCTTGTCAGTCAGCCACAGGACAGACTTGGATCCCATCTTGGTACCGAAATTCCTGTCGAAGGGAGTGGGGGTTCCACCCTGGTGGTAAGACATAGAGAAAGAGAGAGAGACATTGAGAGCGAGAGAGCGAGAGAGAGCGAGAGAGAGATGGTGAGAGATAGGTATTCCCATATGAGCATATACATAAATTGATTCCAGGGATTTTTCTGACATTGTAATCCTTGGGCGGGCCGCATAAGCGTTTCTTCGGGTCGCCTAAGTACAGAAAGTGTAGAGAAAAATATATATACACTACCAGTCAAAAGTTTGGACACACCTACTCATTCAAGGGTTTTTCTTTATTTTTACAATTTTTTACATAGTAGAATAGTAGTGAAGACATCAAAACTATGAAATAACACATATGGAATCATGTAGTAAGCAAAAAAGTGTTAAACAAATCAAAATAATTTTTATATTTGAGATTCTTCAAATAGCCACCCTTTGAGGCTGGTAACTGTAATTAACTTATCCTCTGCAGCAGAGGTAACTCTGGGTCTTCCATTCCTGTGGTGGTCCTCATGAGAGCCAGTTTCATCATAGCGCTTGATGTTTTTTGCGACTGCACTTGAAGAAACTTTAAAAGTTCTTTAAATTTTCCGTACTGACTGACCTTCATGTCTTAAAGTAATGATGGACTGTCGTTTCTCTTTGCTTTTTTGAGCTGTTCTTGCCATAATATGGACTTGGTATTTTACCAAATAGGACTATCTTCTATATACCCTCCACTACCTTGTCACAACACAACTGATTGTCTCAAACGCATTAAGAAGGAAAGAAATTCCACAAATTAACTTTTAAGAAGGCACACCTGTTAATTGAAATGCATTCCAGGTGACTAACTCATGAAGCTGGTTGAGAGAATGCCAAGAGTGTGCAACGCTGTCACACCCTGGCCTTAGTTATCTTTGTTTTCATTAATATTTTAGTTAGGTCAGGGTGTGACATGGTGAAGTATGTGTTTTGGTTTGTCTAGGGGTTTGTAGGTTTATGGGGTTATGTCTTGTCTAGGTGTTTGTATGTTGATGGCTGCCTAGATTGGTTCTCAATTGGAGACAGCTGTGGTTTATTGTCTCTAATTGGGAGCCATATTTAAGGCAGCCATGGGCATCATGTGTTTGTGGGTAATTGTCTATGTTGAACGTTTGTTGCTTGTCAGTGCACTTACGTAATTTAGCTTCACGGTCGTTTGTTGTTTTGTTAGTTTTGGATAGTGTTCGGTTTCGTGTTTTTCTCTCTTCCATAATAAAGAGATGTATTTTGCAAACGCTGCGCCTTGGTCTCCTGTTCTAGACGATCGTGACAGAATTACCCACCATCAAAGGACCAAGCGGCGTGTCCAGGAGCCAAGGGTCTGGACATGGGAGGAGATTTTGGAAGGTAAAGGGTCTTGGACTTGGGAGGAAATCCTGGATGGGATGGATCGACGGCCATGGTGTGAAACAGTGGAGAGGCGACTGAGAGAGGAGCAACGGCGTCAGCAGGGCCTTCGTCGGAGGGACGAGAGGCAACCCCAAAAAGTTTTTTTGGGGGGGCACATGGCTTGGGCGGCTGGGCAGCAGGAGGCTGCCACAAGGAGACGTGGAGAGAAGGCTACCGGTTTACGGGAGCCATTGGCGAGTAGAGGGAGGGAAGCAGTTGAGGCACGGCGTAAGAGACTGAGGTGTGTTACCAGTCCGGTCCGGCCCGTTCCTGATCCCCGGTTAAGGCCAGTGGTGTGTGTTCCCAGTACGGACCGGCCTGTTCCTACTCCACGCATCAAGCCCACGGTGTGCGTCGCCAGTCCAGCCCGGCCGGTTCCTGCTCCACGTACTAAGCCCACGGTGTGCGTCGCCAGTCCAGCCCGACCTGTTCCTGCTCCACGTACCAGACCCACGGTGTGCGTCGCCAGTCCAGCCCGGCCGGTTCCTGCTCCACGTACTAAGCCTACGGTGTACGTCGCCAGCCCGACCCGGCCTGTTCCGGCCACTCGCACCAAACCTACGGTGCGCGTCGCCAGCCCGGTCCGGCCTGTTCCTGCCACCCGCACCAAGTTTACGGTGCGCGTCGCCAGCCCGACCCGGCCTGTTCCTGCCACTCGCACCAAACCTACGGTGCGCGTCGCCAGCCCGGTCCGGCCTGTTCCTGCTCCCCGCACTAGCCCTGAGATGCGTGTCCTCAGCCCGGGACCACCAGTTCCGGCACCACGCACTAGGCCTTATGTGCGTCCCCAGGGTCCAGCATGCCCTGTTCCTTCTCCCCGCACTAGACCTGAGATGCGTGTCCTCAGCCCGGTACCTCCAGTTCCGGCACCACGCACCAGGCCTCTAGGGCGTCTCGGCCGGCCAGAGTCTGCCGTCTGCCTAACGGCGCCTGAACTGCCCGTCTGCCCAACGCCGTCTGAACTGTCCGTCTGCCAAGCGCTGCATAAGCCGCCCGTCTGCCCTGAGCCTTCAGAGCCGTCCGCCAGACCGGAGCCGCTAAAGCCTTCCGCCAGACAGGAGCCGCTAGAGCCTTCCGCCAGACAGGATCAGCCAGAGCCTTCCGCCAGACAGGATCAGCCAGAGCCTTCCGCCAGACAGGATCAGCCAGAGCCTTCCGCCAGCCATGAGCAGCCAGATCCGTCAGCCAGCCATGAACAGCCAGATCCGTCAGCCAGCCATGAGCCGTCCAGCCAGGATCCGCCAGAGCCGTCCAGCCAGGATCCGCCAGAGCCGTCCAGCCAGGATCCGCCAGAGCCGTCCAGCCGGGATCCGCCAGAGCCGTCCAGCCAGGATCCGCCAGCCAGCCAGGATCCGCCAGAGCCAGCCAGCCAGGATCCGCCATTCAGTCCGGTGCTGCCCCTTAGTCCGGTGCTGCCCCTTAGCCCGGTGCTGCCCCTTAGCCCGGTGCTGCCCCTTATCCTGGTGCTGCTCCTTATCCTGGTGCTGCTCCTTATCCTGGTGCTGCCCCTTAGTCCGGTGCTGCCCCGTAGTCCGGTGCTGCCCCTTAGTCCGGTGCTGCCCCTTAGTCCGGTGCTGCCTCTTAGTCCGGTGCTGCCCCTTAATCCAGTGGGGTTAAGTTGGAGGGTGGTCATTTGGAGGAGGCTACGAAAGCGGGTAGTGACTATGGTGGGGTGGGGACCACGACCAGTGCCAGAGCCGCCACCGTGGACAGACGCCCACCCAGACCCTCCCCTAGACTTTATGCAGGTGCGCCCGGAGTTCGCACCTTAAGGGGGGGGGTTATGTCACACCCTGGCCTTAGTTATCTTTGTTTTCATTAATATTTTAGTTAGGTCAGGGTGTGACATGGTGAAGTATGTGTTTTGGTTTGTCTAGGGGTTTGTAGGTTTATGGGGTTATGTCTTGTCTAGGTGTTTGTATGTTGATGGCTGCCTAGATTGGTTCTCAATTGGAGACAGCTGTGGTTTATTGTCTCTAATTGGGAGCCATATTTAAGGCAGCCATGGGCATCATGTGTTTGTGGGTAATTGTCTATGTTGAACGTTTGTTGCTTGTCAGTGCACTTACGTAATTTAGCTTCACGGTCGTTTGTTGTTTTGTTAGTTTTGGATAGTGTTCGGTTTCGTGTTTTTCTCTCTTCCATAATAAAGAGATGTATTTTGCAAACGCTGCGCCTTGGTCTCCTGTTCTAGACGATCGTGACAAACGCTGTCATCAAGGCTATTTGAAGAATCTGTTTAACACTTTTTTAGTTACTACATGATTCCATATGTGTTATTTCATAGTTTTGATATCTTCACTATTATTCTACAATGTAGAAAATAGTAAAAATAAAGAAAAACCCTTAAATGAGTAGATGTGTCCAAACTTTTGACTGGTAGTGTATATATACACTGAGTGTACAAAACATTAGGAACACCTGAGTGTACAAAACATTAGGATTTTTAAGCCTTGACACAATTGAGACATGGATTGTGTATATGTGCCATTCAAAGGGTGAATGGGCAAGACAAAATATTTATGTGCCTTTGAACAGGGTATGGTAGTAGGTGCCAGGCGCACCGGTTTGAGTGTGTCAAGAATTGTAACGCTGCTGGGTTTTTCATGCTAAACAGTTTCCTGTGTGTATCAAGAATGGTCCACCACCCAAAGGACATCCAGCCAACTTGACATAACTGTGGGAAGCATTGGAGCCAACATGGGCCAGTATCCCTGTGGAATGCTTTCGACACCTTGTAGAGTCCATGCCCCGACGAAATGAAGCTGTTCTGAGGGCAAAAGGGGGTGCAACTCAATATTAGGAAGGCTTTCCTAGTGTACAAACCTTTTAGGGATGGAAAAACGCTTTCGGTGTAAACTTTAATGACTAAAACCAGATATAAAGTATGTAGAAAAGATAATGGACCTATATATATTTTGTTAGAATCTTTGAGAACTAACAATTACCAAAATAAAAATTTGACAGTCAGGGAGAATATAAAAAAAAAAATTAAAAAATGAATTTAGCAGTAGATATTTTGTTATTATGTTTGAGCAAAAATCTACAGCATTAGCCATGGCAAAATGCATAGAACTGCAGGAAATTAGCTTTAAAACTGTAAAATTTTCTCTCAGCTCCATATGTAGAATTACAGGAAATGTGCTTTAAAATTGCATAATTTTCTCACAGCTGCATGGCAAAATGTATAGTATTGCAGGCAATTATCTTTCTAAACTGAAAAAAATAATCTCAGCTCCATGGAGAAATTGTTATAATTGCAGGAAATTGGCTTACAAATGCAAATATTTCTCTACACCGCCAAGATGTGGGCCTCTAAAATGATCTCTAAAATGCAGCTGCGTCGACGGGCCAACCACGCTCACTGCCACACACACTACCTAAGCCCCTTTTTTGATCCAGAAAAAACTCTGGATTCCTTATATTACTTCATAAATATTAGCTACAGGTTTAGAGTTGAGTCCATGAAACAGCTAGAAGAAGTGTCCATCAGACCTGCTGCATGTGTCCCAGGACATTCATCCTGCAGTCGAAAGTGCCCTTGCCCTCCTCTGAGTACAGGTTGTAGATGAACTGTGTGGTGTAGTTCTCATTGGCATTAGAATTCCTGTGGGCAGGAGGAGGACGGTATTATTATAAGACAATCCATAATTCGTTAGTTGTAGTAACAAGAGAAACAAGAGAACAATAATGTCTGAGGGATATCAGGCAAGGATGTGTTTTTCAGGAGAGCACACCCACCTGAGAATGAGGCCTCTCTTCACTGAGGTCTTCATCTTTTCTATTAGATGCTCCACGTTCAGCTGCAATAAAACAATACAACAGTCAAACCATGATTCAACAACCCAATGTCCCCATTTTTTGGGATGTGTCTGAAATATACCATCCATCTTTGTTATTCTGCGTGTGGCCTCTGACCTCTAGGTCACGGATATGGAAAGGCTCTTCATAGATGTAGGCAGCATCAGCCCCAGACGACAAGCCAGCCATGGTTGCCAGGTAGCCACAGTATCCCCCCATGGTCTCAATGATGAACACTCTCCTCTTGGTGCCAGCAGCAGACTGCTTGATCCTGTCACAAGTCTGACCGAGAAAGACAGCAGAAAGAAGAGAAAGAGAAGGAAGGGATGAGGAGGGATGTGTGTCTGGGTATTGTCATTTGTGTATTTAAACCTTTGTGTGTATGGGGTACAGTGTGTGTGTGCCTGCATGTGTGTATCTGCATGTGTGTATCTGGGGTACAGCGTGTGTGTGTGTCAAATCAAATGTTATTTGTCACATGCACCGAATAAAACAGGTGTAGACTTTACCGTGAAATGCTTGCTTAGAAGCCCTTTCCAACGGTGCAGAGTTAATTGTAACACAACAGGAATAAAATACACAATAATGAATCTATATACAGGGAGAACAAGTACCAGATCAATGTGCAGAGGTATGAGGTATTTGAGGTAGATATGTACATAAAGGCAGGGTAAAGTGACTAAGCATCAGGATATGTCTGACCGTGGTGATGGTGTTGAGGGCGGTGTCAGCTCCGATGCTGAAGTCCGATCCGGGAACATTGTTGGAGACCGTGGCGGGAATGATCACCATGGGGATACACAGCTCCTCGTACTTCTCCCTGGCTGTCACCAGCTCCAGACCACCCAGATACGCCTGACAGGGAGACACACATTACCATGTATATCTGGACTAGGCATCAACAGACATGACAATATTCATGATACTCATATTTTGTCAACTATAGTGCTTATGTTTAATGAATATGTTAAATCAATAATATTTGTACACTTATACTTTAAGGACCGATTCTATGAAGTGTCATGACAGTGGGCCAGTGAACCATCATAACACTCTCTCTAACCCAACCCCTTGATCCTCACCTCAAAGCCTCCGATGATGATTAGAGAATGGATGTTGAACTTGGCAATGTTCAGGCTGATTTGCTCAATGTTTTTACCTGGCAGGTGTCTTCACACCAGAGAGGAGAAACAGAGAGTTAAATGTGACCATCTGGTTTATCTGTCAACAGAGGTTTCTATTCCTATAATTAGGGCCCTGGGTTCCTCCTAAACACGTGACTTTGAGCTTTTCCTGGACAGGTCACATGGTCAGGAAGACCTTGCGGCCCTACATATTGGTGTGTGTGGTCTGTGGAGATGTCTCACCTCTTAGTACCGAGATTGGACCCTCCCTTCCCAGTCCATCCACTCACTTGAGCCCAGATGATAGGCTCAATCTGGGGAAGAGGAAAGAGAGATAAGTATGGTATGTTTGTGCGAGTGCGTGTGCGCATGCGTGTGTCATTTGTGTTGAGATGTGCAGGTGGAGCTCAACACTTGTTCACTTCCCTTCACTGAATTTAAAGGAAATGATTAGTATAAAATGGTGGAAACCTCCACTAGCCCATGCCTGCACCAATCCAATGCTTTAAGGCCCCGATTCCGACCCGAGTTAAGCGTGCGTAAATGGAACATGATTCCCTTTATATGCACTTTTCTCTCTATGCGTATTCTGACCTTGAACTTAAGCATAAGAATCGCTTGCTATTCACCTGCTATTCGTTTTGGGTGGGATCAAATAAGTGAAGGTGTGGCGTAGGTGTGTCTACAGATACACCTTATTCTGACCTTGACTTAATTCCCTAATAATTCCACTACCAGGAAATCATGAATAAGGTCTAGCGAATCTTCCGGTTCCAAGTGGAAAAAGCATGTACTTTATTGTTTCCATGAGAAATAACACCATTCTCCATGCACTGTAATTTACAACTTGATAAGAGCTATTGATAAGAGCTAGGGAAATGAGTAATCCGTTTGGATAAGGGAATTGTAAATATAAATGACACTTGTTTTAGATATATTTTACCTTCTAATGGCTGGAGACAAATGTGAAACCAGTCATATGGCAGCAAACTGAAGCATATCAACATATCAACTTTCCCACAGTATAGTTTATGAAATGCTGTGCCATTATGCAGAATTGTAATTGTACGGCCTTTTAACTTGCAGAGATGGGCACTCTCAATTGTCTTAATTATAGGCTACACTGACTTTCTCTGTTTCCTATTTCTATCATGTTAAATATTAGCCACTATCAGTATCGACTGTCAGTAGACATAATAACAACACATATTCAACTGCCAATTTACTGTTAGTTCCCTTCAGTTGGTATAGCCTACATTATCATTCCATTGTTTCATGTACATTAATTTGCTTCCTCTGTAAACGCCGTCACGGCCATGTGGTTGTTGCTGAGGATCATTAGTAACAGTTGATAATATAAAAAAAGACATGCAGGCTAATTAAATCGTAATGGAGCAGAGCGCAGACCAAGCCGCAACAGTTTCAACCCAACGCATGGTGCAATACTTGGCTGTGTCATCAGGCTGTGACGAGGGTATAGCCTACTATTGTACACTATTCTCACTATTATAATTGTATGTACACTAATCTTCCAACATTACATGGGTTAAAGAACTGAATGTGGAAATTTTCAGAATGATTCTAACCACCGTTTTTTTTTTTCGTGCGTAAAGGCTCTCCAAACCTGTTTTTCATGATTCATAAATAATTTCCAAACTCTAAATAATCTACAACAATAGATTATTTAATCTACCAAGTGGTGCTGAAACGGAGACGAACATGCATATATTTAGATGGCTTTCTTTCATTGAGCCCTAATATTCTGAACCCGTTCTTTCGATATATTCTATTGAGTCTGTCCACAACATTCTAACTAAAAGGTACACCGTATTTAAAGGGATGGCTTAAGATAAATGTACTTAAAACATTATTGAATGAAAACTCTATGAGAAAATCTGTTTACCAGCAAGTGGTAGGGATTTCAGCACTTGAATTACATTTATTCAGCGTGTGCAAGGGTTCCACGCCTGCAAAGCCCGTTACTAACCTTCATAAGGTAAGTCTGAATACCAGCTACTGAGAAGTGCGTAGGAAATGTGTGTGTAAGAAAGGTGTAATTTCCTAAATCGGAATCGGGCCTACGATTTGTGGGAAGTAGTGAAGGAGGGCACCCATCAGGAGATAGGAGATATTATTAGGATGGACCCAGTGACTCCTAACAGCTTGAACAAGTTGTCCACTACAGGAAATCCTCAGGTGGAATGACCCACCTGTCCGTTAGCCAGGCCGTCAAAGCCGTCATGTACAGCCAGCATCTGGTGTCCCTGGATGATACCGACCCTGACAGCTGCGCGCACTGCTGCATTCATCCCAGCACAGGGGGCGCCCACATTTATAATAGCAATGTTGATGTTGCTCTGAGAGGGGGAGAACAGGAGAGAGAGAGGATGTATTTTGGGCGCAACATGATTATAGGAACTACACTGTAGGCAAAAAGTAATATAACGCCTTCAAATGTGCAACCAGATGCCCAAACACGTGACCAAAATAGCAAGTAAAAGAAAATGCTGCTGTTACTCACCTTCACTTTTGGGGGGGTCACGTGAGCCAGCATTTTGTATGTGTCCCAGTTATTCTGAAAGCTCCTACAAACAGACATTGAAAAAAAAATTACCAACGGTTTTCATCTCACTGTAAGAAAATAGCAAATAAAGAAAGAATAAAAGAGGCTAAATAAAAGGCTCACTTTCCCCTGAGCTTCACAGCATCTTCAAATCTCCCCTCAGCCATGGCTACGGTCACATCTTTAGTCTGAGAGAGAGAGAGAGAGAGAGAGAGAGAGAGAGAGAGATAGAGAGAGAGAGAGAGAGAGGAGAGAGAGAGAGAGAGAGAGATAGAGAGAGAGAGAGAGAGAGAGAGAGAGAGAGAGAGAGAGAGATCCGAGAGAGAAGAAGAGAGAGAGAGAGGAGATATCCGGATCCGAGAGAGCCTATAGGAGGTAGAATTCTGCGCGATACTATCGAGAGAGTCCGAGCGAGGAGGGAATTAAAATGTTAGAGTTAAAGGAAAGAGAACTCTATGTAGATAATAAAGGTGCTTTATCAACAATAAGATAGGAAATATAATAGTTTGATGTGGCATAGGTGTATAACTCGCCACTTGGACACACTCCATGAGAGGCAGCCTGATGGCCATGTTCCCAGAAAGACTGACAACACAGGCTGGGGTTTCTGGGGTGGCCTCCAACAGAGCCATCACAGCCTCCACACCCATCCTGCTACCCTGGGGGACAGAGAGAGAGAGAATGAATTCATTAACGAATTACTTACTTAATGAATTAATAAAGGATTGATTATCATTACAGGAACATTATAGGCACTATGTAATGACCCTGAAGGTCAAAATAGATTAGACAACAGATTGAAACACAGGCACAGACACAAAGTGGTGACAGACAGATGGATTACCAGGATTCTGTCAAAAGCAGAGGGGGTGCCACCTCTCTGTACGTGTCCCAGGATAGTGGAACGGGTGTCGAAGCCAAGTTTCTTGGATACCAGCTGTACAGAGTGACACAAACAGATTACGGTATCAGTCCTCTGTCAGATCATATTACCCTAGTCCCTTATAACCTTAACCATTAGGGGGATGAAACGTATCAGACTCTGTGGCTGTGTCCCAAACCTATCGGACTGTGGCTGCGTCCCAAACCTATCGGACTCTGTGGCTGCGTCCAAAATGTATCGGACTCTGTGGCTGCGTCCCAAATGTATCGGACTCTGTTCTGCGTCCCAAATGGAATCCTATTCTCTATATTGGGAATAGGATGCCATTTGGGCCATGTTTCAAGTGTTATTAGTCATACAGTATGTACGGGATGCACATGGTATCCAACGAAATGCTTACTTGCAGGTTCCTTCTCGACAATGCAACAACAATAAGAAATAATAAAAGATAAGAATACGAACATAAAGTAAATGGCTCAGTAGAATAGAATAAATGTTTTACGATAAGAATAGCAAACAAAGTAATAATTTAACAAAATGGCCCATAAAAAAGCAAAGTCGAGCAGGAACTGGCAAGACCTCCTCATCACGGCCATCTCAGCCTGTATCAGAGAATAGGGCCAGCTTCTACTGACTGTGTGATGTCATATCTCACATTTTTGACTTGGTCACAGGTTATGGGTTTCTGGTGACGGTCCTGGGCTCCCTCTGCCATGATGATAACGTTGAGACGAGAACCACGCTCCCTTTGCTGAGAGAGAGACGGAGAGAGAACGTTGTTTTGTGTGTTACTATTTGAGGAAGAGAGAGAGAAAACCAGAGAGAGAGAGACAAAGAGAGGCTCAATCAGAAGAGGTGGAGAAAGGATTGAGGGATTGAAGAACAGAGGGATAGAGAGAGAAGGAGAGGAGGTGTGGTACCGCAATCAATCTTTTGCACAAATGTTCCTCCCAGTTTTCCTCTGGCGGCATTTCTGGGATGAACACCCAGTCAGCACCACAGGCCAGAGCAGTCACCAGGGCCAGGTAGCTGTGGCAACAGAGAACAATGTTAATACACACACAAGCACGCACAGGCACGCACGCACGCACGCTGGCACACACACACACACACACACACACACAGTCAGGCACTCACCCACAGTGTCTGCCCATCACTTCCAGGATAAAGGTCCTCTGGTGACTGTCAACAGAAATAAGTCAAAGAGTCAGAATCATAAAATCCCTATGATTTACTCATGTTTACAAATGACTTAATATCGGTGTGTGTGTTGTGTGTATACCTCTGTGCAGTAGTCGTGATGGCGTCCACCACCTCTATGATGCGGTGCAGGGCAGAGTCGGTGCCGATGGTCATGTCAGTGCCACAGAAGTCGTTGTCGATAGAGCCCACCATGCCCACGATGTTGAGGTGATAGGAACGCTTAGCCTCCTCCGCTGTGATCTTACCTAGTGGTAGACACACAAACTAGCAGTCAACTCTCAGATTTAATACACTACCTGTGGTCCTGTGTGGCTCAGTTGGTAGAGCATAGCCCTTGCAACGCCCATGGGGGCCACCCATTTGAAAATGAATGCAAGTACTACTGTAAGTCACTTTGAATAAATGACAAGGAGGCATTAAAGTACAGTGTAAGGAGCCACATATTTCAAAGACCATGCTTGGGCATTCACAAATTCACAATAGTAGTAGTGCTGATCTAGGATTAGTTTAGGCTTTTAGATCATAAGGAATGATGACCTAATCCCCTCCTCTTAGGATAATCTAAAACCTGACTGGTTCTAGTAGTGGGTTACATGATGTTTTATAATAGTTGGGTGCTTTGGAGTGAAGGGTGCTGGGGAATGTAGTCTTGCTGGTGGCCCAGGTATCTCACCCCCTTTGGTCAGGTCAGCCAGCAGCTCACTCCACTCTGTACGGAACTGGTTGGCACCAGTCAAGCTACCGTCACCGCCAATCACACACAGATTGGTGATGCCCAGTTTGACCAAGTTGCAGGCGGCCTTCAGACGCCCCCACTTCTCTTTGAAGTCCATACAGCGGGCACTGCCAATCACAGTTCCACCCTGAGAAGAGACAATAGAAAGGGGCAGGATCAGTTGAATGACACAAACAGAACCCACATAGTCTGCCAACAGAACACATTCAGTTGGGCTAAAAAAGAGGGAGAGATGGAGGAGGAAGTAGAGAAGGCCAGGATGTGGGTTATAGGCAGAGAGGGATGAGATAGATTGTGGTTCATGAATAGTGTGTGTGTGCATGTGTGTGAGAGAGGGAGAGAGACTTTTGACTTTTTGTCTTACTTTAATGAGCCATCCTCATTACACTAAAAACACCACAAAAAGAGAGGGAAAGAGAGAGCGAGATAGAGGAGGGAGAGAGAGGAGGAAGGAGAGAGAGAGAGAGAGCGAGAGAGAGAGAGAAGGAAGGAAGGAAGGAAGGAAGGAAGGAAGGAAGGAAGGAAGGAAGGAAGGAAGGAAGGAAGGAAGGAAGGAAGGAAGGAAGGAAGGAAGGAAGGAAGGAAGGAAGGAAGGAAGGAAGGAAGGAAGGAAGGAAGGAAGGAAGGAAGGATGGAGAGAGAGAGACAATGAAGGAGAGAGATAAATAGAGAAAGGAGAGAGAAAGGAGAGAGACAAGGAAGGAGAGAGAGAAATAGAGAGAGAGGGAGAGAGAGAGAAGAGAGAGAGAAAGGAAAGGAGGAAGATAGAACCCCAACCTCTCCTTCTGAAGCACCATTAAATCCAGTGAACCCTGGCCTTTGACTAGATCCTCCTGGCCAGAGGGTCACTGATCTAGGACCACTTGAGTTACAGAGGACAGATTCCACGTCCTTCACTGAAAGGTTACATTTGGTCAGGAACTAAGGAGAGCTCAAGACAGTGTGAGGGTGGAGGTCATTGGAGAGTGAGTGTGAGTGTGAGTGTGAGTGTGAGTGTGTGTGTGTGTGTGTGTGTGTGTGTGTGTGTGTGTGTGTGTGTGTGCACATGTGTATGTACACTACCAGTCAAAGGTTTGGACACACATACTCATTCAAGGGTTTTTCTTTATTTTTACTATTTTTTACATTGTAGAATAATAGTGAAGACATCAAAACTATGAAATAACACATATGGAATCATGTAGTAACCAAAAAAGTGTTATTTTATATTTGAGATTCTTCAAATAGCCACCCTTAGCCTTGATGACAGCTTTGCACATTCTTGGCATTCTCTCAACCAATTTCAATGAACAGGTGTGCCTTCTTAAAAGTTAATTTATGGAATTTATTTCCTTCTTAATGCGTTTGAGCCAATCAGTTGTGTTGTGACAAGGTAGGAGGGGTACACAGAAGATAGCCCTATTTGGTAAAAGTCCAAGTCCATATTATGGCAAGAACAGTTCAAATAAGCAAATAGAAACGACAGTCGATCATTACTTTAAGACATGAAGGTCAGTCAACACGGAACATTTCAAGAACTTTGAAAGTTTCTTCAAGTGCAGTCGCAAAAACCATTAAGCGCTATGATGAAACTGGCTCTCATGAGGACAGGAATGGAAGACCCAGAGTTACCTCTGCTGCAGAGGATAAGTTCATTAGAGTTACCAGCCTCAGAAATTGCAGCCCAAATAAATGCTTCACAGAGTTCAAATCACAGACACATCTCAACATCAACTGTTCAGAGGGGACTGTGTGAATCAGGCCTTCGTGGTCGAATTGCTGCAAAGAAACCACTACTAAAGGACACCAATAAGAAGAAGAGACCTGCTTGGGCCAAGAAACACAAGCAATGGACATTAGACCGGTAGTCTGGAGTCCAAATTCCAACCCTCGTGTCTTTGTGAGACGCGGTGTGGGTGAACAGATGATCTCCGCATGTGTAGTTCCCACCGTAAAGCATGGAGGAGGAGGTGTTATGGTGTGGGGGTGCTTTGCTGGTGACACTGTCTGTGATTTATTTAGAATTCAAGGCACACTTAACCAGCATGGTTACCACAGCATTCTACAGTGATATGCCATCCCATCTGGTTTGGGCTTAGTGGGACTATCATTTGTTTTTTAACAGGACAATGACCCAGCACACCTCCAGGCTGTGTAAGGGTTATTTTACCAAGAAGGAGAGTGATGGAGTGGTGCATCAGATGACGTGGCCTCCACAATCCCCTGACCTTAACTTGATTGAGATGGTTTGGGATGAGTCGGACGGCAGAGTGAAGGAAAAGCAGCCAACAAGTGCTCAGCATATGTGGGAACTCCTTCAAGACTGTTGGTGAACATTCCAGGTGAAGCTGGTTGAGAGAATGCCAAGAGTGTGCAAAGCTGTCATCAAGGCAAAGGGTGGCTATTTGAAGAATCTCAAATATAAAATATATTTTGATTTGTTTAACACTTTTTTGGTTACTACATGATTCCATATGTGTTATTTCATAGTTTTAATGTCTTCACTATTATTCTACAATGTAGAAAATAGTAAAAATAAAGATAAACTCTTGAATGAGTAGGTGTATCCAAACTTTTGACTGGTACTGTATGTGTCATGCATGTGCTTGCATGTTTTGGGGAGTGTCTTTGTGTCTATATGCATGTGTGTCTGTGAATGTGTCTGTGTATGCATGTGCATGTGAATGTGTGTGAGTGTGTGTGTGTTTGTGCAAGTGTGCTTTTTGTCTGTGCATGTGATTTTGTGTGCGTGGGTATGTGTGTGTATACTGTATACAGTATGTGTGCTCACCAGCTGCAGCATCATAGACACACTCTCCCAGGTGGCAAGTTTGATGTTGTCACCTCCATCCACCAGACCTTGGTAACCCTGGAGACGAAGACACAAACCTGTCACGCACAGTCGTGGGAGTATCTAAGGTGAAACCCAGGGTAACTGAGGTGGCTTATCTGGCAGACCTTTATATTAAGGTAACAGGCAAGGAAAATGTAAAGTAAGATCGCCCTTTCTCAAATCCAGTTCTTGTGGGCCTTCGCACTGCTGGTTTACTTCCTATCCCCTCTAATCAGGGATTGATTCAAACCTGAGACACCAGGTAGGTGGAATCTCTGGGCAATCACTTACATTAAATCAGTCAATTAAGTACCATGGAGTAAAGAAAACCAGTAGTGCTGTGGAGTTTGAGGCTCAGGTTGAAGTACCCCCATTGTAATCTGTATTACTTAAAGGCCCAGTGCAGCCAAAAACGGGATTTTCCTGTGTTTTATATATATTTCATTTTCCACACTATGAGGTTGAACTAATAATGTGAAATTGTGAAAATTATGATAATGCCCGTTTAGTGTAAGAGCTTTTTGAAAAGACCGCCTGAAATTTCAGCCTGTTGTGTTGGGATGGAGTTTTGGCCTGCCTGGAGACATCACCAGGTGGTTCATTAGTTAATAGACCAATAAGAAAGAGAGTTCCGAACCTTTCTGCCAATAACAGCTAGTTTTCAGTTTTCCCCTCTCCACTCAGACCACTCCCAGACAGTCCCAGCAAAATTCTTGCTTGTGAAATTGCTCTTTGCTAAAAAGCTATTTTTGTTTCTTATCATCATTTTAATTGAAAACAATCACAGTAAGGTACTTAATTGTTATCCAGAAATGATTGGATATTGAGCTAAAAACGGCTGCATTGGACCTTTAATACTCAGAAAAAGGGAATAGTAACAGTTATAGACTATAACAGAGGATGAGTAACATGAAATAGTAGATGAGATGGGGGGGATACAAGTCAGGTACTAACCTCATGAACGAAGTAGACCTTGGCCCCAGTGTAGATGCCCATTCTGACTGTGGCCCTCACAGCAGCATTCATACCTGTAGCACAGAGTGGTTGTATGAACATCACTGACACAGTCAGTACAGGTGGTTTTGAACTATGACGCACAAGACAGTGTAGCTACTATGATTAAGCTTTCATGCTGTGTGCTAAAAACTTGACATATGCATAATTATACTGAACAAAAATATAAACGCAACATGCAACAATTTCAAATATTTTACTTAGTTACAGAAAATCTGTCAATTGAAATAAATTAATATATGCATCTGTTGGTCAAAGATACCTTAAAAAAAGGCGTGGATCAGAAAACCAGTCAGTATCTGGTGTGACCACCATTTGCCTCATGCAGCACGACACATCTCCTTCGCATATATTTGATCAGGCTGTTGATTGTGGCCTGTGGAATGTTGCTGGATATTGGCGGGAACTGGAATACGCTGTCGTATACGTCAATCCAGAGCATCCCAAACATGTTCAATGGGTGACATGTTTGGTGAGTATGCAGGCCATTTTCAGCTCCCAGGAATTGTGTACAGATCCTTGCGACATGGGGCTGTGCATTATCATGCTGAAACATGAGGTGATGGCGGCGGATGAATGGCATGAAAATGGGCCTCAGGATCTTGTCACGGTATCTCTGTGCATTCAAATTGCCATTGATAAAATGCATTTGTGTTCGTTTACTGTAGCTTATGCCCGCCCATACCATACTGTAACCCCACCGCCACCATATATAGTGTATATAGGGAACACCAGGGGCCAGCCACATTAGTCCCAGAGTGACTGGTTTATATGGAAGCTAAATGGGCTGAATAGTTAGACTGCATCATAACAGGTCAGGACCTCAGATAAGGGTAAACCATCACAATGGCTGGTATGCCTGTTAGAAACTCTGTCTGTGTCAGTGAACTGGCAGGGCAGACAAGGCAGACAGGGAGAGTAAGGCAGACAGGGCAGACAGGAGAGACAGGGCAGACAGGGAGAGTAAGGCAGACAGGGGAGACAGTGAGAGTAAGGCAGACAGGACAGACAGGGGAGACAGGGCAGACAGGGAGAGTAAGGCAGACAGGACAGACAGGGGAGACAGGGCAGACAGGGAGAGTAAGGCAGACAGGGCAGACAGGGGAGACAGGGCAGACAGGGAGAGTAAGGCAGACAGGACAGACAGGGGAGACAGGGCAGACAGGGAGAGTAAGGCAGACAGGGCAGACAGGAGAGACAGGGCAGACAGAAGGGACAGGGAAGACAGGGAGAGTAAGGCAGACAGGGCAGACAGGGAGAGTAAGGCAGACAGGGGAGACAGTGAGAGTAAGGCAGACAGGACAGACAGTGGAGACAGGGCAGACAGGGAGAGTAAGGCAGACAGGACAGACAGGGGAGACAGGGCAGACAGGGAGAGTAAGGCAGACAGGGCAGACAGGAGAGACAGGGCAGACAGGAGGGACAGGGAAGACAGGGAGACAGGGAAGACAGGGGAGACAGGGCAGACAGGGGAGACATTTTAACAGCTCACTGTCTCAATACACCAGCTCCAGTCTAAAGGGCAACACTTGTGGATATTGTGTCTGTTGAGGTGCCAAGAGTGTCTTCCCTTTCAACATGGGGGGAGTAAAATGACCGGTGGAAGAGGAGGGAGAGGATAGAGGAGGTATAGGGTGGCACACTTCACTATTCCTCCTCCTCCACCTCTCCACGTCATATGACAGAAAGGTCACCCCTCTAAAATTAGCCCCCCTCCAACAGATACTGAGAGATTGAGAGGGAACGAGAGATGAGGGAAAGAGAGGTAAATAGAGGGAAAGATAATGATACGGGTGAAGATTTAAAGAACAGAGTAACCAGGGTGTATAGAGATAGAGGGGAAAAATACAATAAAAAACTGAACGAGAGCGAGAGAACCCTGGATAAACGTCTAGCCGACTAGAGACACCCAGCTCCATAACGATGTAAAGTTCAGACAGGCAGACAGCTCCCTGACATATGGTCATATGCGGTCAGCGGCAGACATCCCAAAGGTCAAAGGGGAGGTATTTATCATCCAGCTAAAGGTCAAGGGGTAGACTCCTTTCCTTTCTCCCGAATTGTGTACTTGTTCTTGCATTGATCGATTTAAAACAAAATGACTGGTTTATGGAAACTCCCTCCAGCCATGCCTACACCAATCCAATCATTTTACATTTGTGGGGAGTAGTGAACGAGTGCAAATGCTCCGGTGACCCTGGCAACCTTGGATGGAAGACGTTGCCCTTTCCATGTGATAAGATATCTTTGTGACAACCGAGAGGAGGGGTCTTTACGTGCAGCTAGAGTGCCATATAATACATCTCATATGTTCAACAATGTGATAACATATCATATGACATTATTATATGAACTTTTAATATCAGAACTCCTCAATCCACAATCATTACAGTTTATTTGGCTTTGGTAGTGGGTGTGGCAAACTGTGTGACTGTAAGTGTGACTGAAAACACCAGTCAACAGTTGGATTTCAAACCACAAGAATAAGAGGCATGTTTTCTATTAGTTGACTTTGAACAAAAATCTTTGCATTTATGTAGTACAGTCTATAGACCATGCATTTCTGTAGTACAGTCAGTCTATGCATCACCCCTGAAGTACAGCCATGACTTTGAACAACACAAATTATATTTACAAATCACTTGTTACTTTACTTCCCTATACTCTAGCGTTTCCCTACTCCAAATTACATGAGAGCCTCTGAGAGCTGAGCGTGAATTATGGGAATTGTTGACTTAAAGTAAAACGTCTCACAGTTTGCTGCTGCCACGTATGAATGGGAACTGTTCCCAAATACTTATATTACTCTGGCCCGACTCAGCCACCTGCAGATTACCAACAAGCCTCTGGGCTATCTGCCCTCCCTCAGATTTTCCATGTACCTGGAGCTGGAGCCGTAGCTTCCCCCTACCAGTCCCCTGGGACCCCCCTGCCCTGGACCACCCCACTCACCCTGGGCATCGCCTCCGGAGGTCAGCACGGCGATGGAGCGGCCGATGCCCATCTTTCTGGGGTCTTTATGGGGTGCTTCATGGTGTGCCATGGTCCTGGATCTGCCTGTGACTGGAGAAGAGAAAGAAAGAAAAGATGGCAGAGAAGGATTAGCCTAGCCCTGCCGCTATAGTGTGTGGTTTAGTGCAGTAGAGTGTCTCTCTCCTCTCACTCTCTCTGCCTGCCTGACTGGGAATGGGACTGAATGGGACAGGGGAGACGCAGTTTAACCACCCCTCTGCTTGACAGGAATCTGAGGCACGCCAGTTGTGTAAAGTACTTAAGTAAAAATACTCAATAATGTTTTTGGCGGTTTCTGTACTTTACTATTTATATTTTTGACTACTTGTACTTTTACTTCACTACATTCTTTAAGAAAATATTGTACTTTTTACTCCATACATTTTCCCTGACACATTTCTTTTCAAATCAAATCAAATGTTATTAGTCACATGCGCCGAATACAACAGGTGTAGACCTTACCGTGAAATGCTTACTTACAAGCCCTTAACCAACAATGCAGTTTTAAGAAAATAGAGTTAAGAAAATATTTACTAAATAAACTAAAGTTAAAAAAATATATATATATATTTAAAGTAACACAATAAAATAACAATAATGAGGCTATATACAGGGGGTACCGGTACCGAGTCAATTTGTACATGTAGGTAGGGGTAAAGTGACTATGCATAGATAATAAACAGCGTGTAGCAACAGTGTAAAAACAAAGGGGGGTGGGTGTCAAAACATGGATTGTAAAATGTCATGGTCAAAACATATTGATACAACAGCAGCTAGGATGGGGAGAAGTCTGTCTATAATAAAGCGTTGCTCTGCATTCTTAACAGCACTATCAACAAGGCAGGTCCTACAGGCCATAGTTTTGTCGCACCTGGACTACTGTTCAGTCATGTGGTCAGGTACCACAAAGAGTAAAATTGCAATTGACTCAGAACAGGGCAGCACGGCTAGCCCTTGGATGTACACAGAGAGCTAACATTAATAATAAGCATGTCAATCTCTCCTGGCTCAAAGTGGAGGAGAGATTGACCTCATCACTACTTGTATTTGTGAGAGGTATTGACATGTTGAATGCACCGAGCTGTCTGTTTGAACAACTGGCACACAGCTCGGACACCCATGCACACCCCACAAGACATGCCACCAGAGGTCTCTTCACAGTCCCCAAGTCAAGAACAGATTATGGGAGGCGCACAGTACTACATAGAACCATGACTACATGGAACTCTATTCCACATCAAGTAACTCATGCAAGCAGTAAAATTAGATTAAAAAAACAGATACAAATACACCTTACGGAACAGTGGGGACTGTGAAGCAACACAAACATAGACACATGAATACAAACACACGATAACATACGCACTATACACACACGTACACATGTATTTTGTGTTATAGATATGTGGTAGTTGTCACGCCCTGGCTCTGGGGACTCTAATATGTTGAGCCAGGGTGTGTAAAGTCTATGTGTTTTGTTCTAGGTTTCACATTCTAGTATTGTTGTTCTATGTTGGCCAGTGTGGTTCTCAATCAGAGGCAACGTGATTCAGCTGTTGCTTGTTGTCTCTGATTGAGAACCATACTTTAGCAGCCTGTTTCCCCACAGAGTTTGTGGGATCTTGTTTCTAGTCTGTTGTGTTAGACCGTGAACTGTCACGTTATCGTTTTGTTGTTTTTGATCGTGTCTCTAATAAAGAGTATGTTTGCCTGTAACGCTGCGCCTTGGTCCTCATCTCTGTTAGACGATCGTGACAGAAGATCCCACCAAGACTGGACCAAGCAGCAAGTCCAGGAGCCAGCGCCTGAGAGATCTCTAGCAGATCTCCTTCGCCTCCTCAACTGGGTCAAGCCATGTGAGGAAGAGAGGGGCTTGACCTGGAGGCAGAAGGGTGAAAGGCTGGAGAGAAGCATGGAGACCTGGTCCACGGGTAGGAGTGAAGCCCATACATTTTTTAGGGGGGGGGCTAACGCCGTGGACGACGGGGCAGCAGGAGGCCGCCAGGTTACGGGAGTCACTGGTCACCAGGGGGAAGGAGGATGTAGAGGCACGGCGAGAGGTACTGGCGTGTGTTGCCAGTCCGGTCCGGCCTGTTCCTGATCCCCACGTAGGGCCAGTGGTGTGTGTTCCCAGTACGGCTCGGCCCGTTCCTGCTCCCCGCACCAAGTCAGTGGTGCGCTTCGTCAGCCCGGCACGGCCCGTTCCTGCTCCCCGCACCAAGTCAGTGGTGCGCTTCGTCAGCCCGGCACGGCCCGTTCCTGCTCCCCGCACCAAGTCAGTGGTGCGTTTCGTCAGCCCTGTCCGGCCCGTTCCTGCTCCCCGCACCAAGTCAGTGGTGCGCGTCGTCAGCCCGGTCCGGCCCATTCCTGCTCCCCGCACCAAGTCAGTGGTGCGTTTCGTCAGCCCGGCACGGCCCGTTCCTGCTCCCCGCACCAAGTCAGTGGTGCGCTTCGTCAGCCCGGTCCGGCCCGCTCCTGCTCCCCGCACCAAGTCAGTGGTGCGTTTCGTCAGCCCGGCTCGGCCCGCTCCTGCTCCCCACACCAAGCCAGTGGTGTGCGTCGTCAGTCCGGCACGGCCCGTGCCTGTTCCACCGGTGGCTGGTCCGGCACCGGTCAGATGCTTCACGCCGGAGCTAGAGCAATCCGCTCCACCAGTGTGCAGTCCAGCTCCGGCCAGCGGGGCCAGACCGGACCAGGGGTACTTTGGGGGATTGGAGAGGGAGCGGGGATCAGGCCCGGAGCCGGATCCGCCGCCTAAGCGGAGTGCCCACTCGGTCCCTCCCCTGTGGTATTTGGTGGGCGCGGTCGGAGTCCGCGCCTTTAGGTGGGGGTACTGTCACGCCCTGGCTCTGGGGACTCTAATATGTTGAGCCAGGGTGTGTAAAGTCTATGTGTTTTGTTCTAGGTTTCACATTCTAGTATTGTTGTTCTATGTTGGCCAGTGTGGTTCTCAATCAGAGGCAACGTGATTCAGCTGTTGCTTGTTGTCTCTGATTGAGAACCATACTTTAGCAGCCTGTTTCCCCACAGAGTTTGTGGGATCTTGTTTCTAGTCTGTTGTGTTAGACCGTGAACTGTCACGTTATCGTTTTGTTGTTTTTGATCGTGTCTCTAATAAAGAGTATGTTTGCCTGCAACGCTGCGCCTTGGTCCTCATCTCTGTTAGACGATCGTGACAGTAGTAGAGTAGGGGCCTGAGGGCACACAGTTAATATGTTGTGAAATCTGTTATGAATGTATTGTAATGTATTAAAATGTATAACTGCCTTAATTCTGCTGGACCCCAGGAAGAGTAGCTGCTGCCTTGGCAGCAGCTAATGGGGATCCATAATAAATACAAATACAAATGCAAATAGTCCAGGTGACCATTTGATTAATTGTTCAGCAGTAATATGGCTTGGGGGTAGAAGCTGTTAAGGAGCCTTTTGGACCTAGACTTGGCGCTCCGGTACTTGTTACATTTTGAATGCTTAGCAGGACAGGAAAATAGTCAAATTCATGCACTTATCAACCGAACATCCCTGGTCATCCCTACTGCCTCTGATCTGGCGAACTCACTAAAACACACATGCTTTGTTTGTAAATGATGAATGTTGGAGTTTGCCCCTGGCTTTCCGTAAATTAAAAAAGCAAGAAAATGGTGCCATCTGGTTTGCTTAATATAAGGAATTTGAAAGGATTTATACTTTAACTTTGATACTTAACTATATTTTAGCAATTACATTTACTTTTGATACTTAAGTACAGTTGAAGTCGTAAGTTTGCGTACACCTTAGCCAAATACATTTAAACTCAGTTTTTCACAATTCCTGACATTTAATCCTAGTACAAATTCCCTGTCTTAGGTCAGTTAGGATCACCACTTAATTTTAAGAATGTGAAATGTCAGAATAATAGTAGAGAGAATGATTTATTTATTTCATCACATTCCCAGTGGGTCAGAAGTTTACATACACTCAATTCGTATTTGGTAGCATTGCCTTTAAATTGTTTAACTTGGGTCAAACGTTTCGGGTAGCCTTCCACAAGCTTCCCACAATAAATTGGGTGAATTTTGGCCCATTCCTCCTGACAGAGCTGGTGTAACGGAGTCAGGTTTGTAGGCCTCCTTGCTCGCACATGCTTTTTCAGTTCTGCCCACAAATTTTCTATAGGATTGAGGTCAGGGCTTTGTGATGGCCACTCCAATACCTTGACTTTGTTGTCCTTAAGCCATTTTGCCACAACTTTGGAAGTATGCTTGGGGTCACTGTCCATTTGGAAGACCCATTTGCGACCAAGCTTTAACTTCCTGACTGATGTCTTGAGATGTTGCTTCAATATATACACATAATCTTCGTTCCTCATGATGCCATCTATTTTGTGAAGTGCACCAGTCCCTCCTGCAGTAAAGCACCCCCACAGTATGATGCTGCCACCCCCGTTTAGCCAAATAAATAACAATATGGGGATGAGGTAGTTGGGTGGGCTAATTTCAGAATGGCTGTGTACAGGTGCAGTGATCGGTAAGCTGCTCTGACAACTGACGCTTAAAGTTAGTGAGGGAGATAAGAGTCTCCAGCTTCAGAGATTTTTGCAGTTCTGTCGTATCGAGTAAATGCTGGCAATTATTGCTGATAAACAAAGGAGTCCGCTCATACTGAACCTTTGATCATAAGTTTTATTCATATCACAAGCTTTCAGCATGAGTTACAGGAGTCAAGATCCCCCGGAGAGCAGTGTTCTCGAATTGTGATGGCTGCTCTGCTTTCCTGTGCCTCCAGCATATACTTATAAACAATGTAAAAATATGGGTTGCTCCCTCTGCGGTCCAATCACCAGTCTCCCCTGGGGCGTCACCCTACAAACGGCTACTTTTGAACTAAGATAAACATCCCCTCTGGTTCCATTAAGAAAGTCATAATCTTTAATACACTACATTTCCCACCTTCGAGACTAACTAAAAGTCTCGAAAACAAACAGAATAGGATTATGACTAGTAACAATTTATCTTATTGAGTATTTTTAACCTTAAACCAAAAAACATTCTTCTCTAGAGTGTATATACCTTTCTATGAAATATGAATAACTGTTTATGAAGTGTGAATACATTACTATGAAATATGAACAAATCTTTATGAAGTGTGAATACATTACTATGAAATATGAACAAATCTTTATGGAGTGTGAATACATTACTATGAAATATGAACAAATCTTTATGGAGTGTGAGAGCGAAAAACTGTCTGGCAACTTCGTTCCAAATATCCATCCATCAATCAAGACAGTAAAATTCTCTCACGGTCCCTCTGCCCCAGGCAACCACCTAGGTACTCCCGATGAATTCATAACTCTTTATAAATGCATTTGAAACTATGATGCAATTAAATACACATGAAAGCCCCTGCAAACAAAATACTATCCAAAAAATGTCCACACCAAGAGGCTGGTCAACCCATCGGACCCTATAGTGGACCTCTCCCTGCCTAGACTCCCTGTCCCTAAGCATTCACGAAATAAACAAAAACATCTAAGATCCCCACATGTATCCAATAACATCAAATATCATTCTACAACAATTAATACCTAAGACTATGACACAAATTATGTATTACACATGCAAATATGTCTATATTTCATTGCAGACACTGGAATGTAGTCCACTACACTTCATCTCCTCCGTAGTCTCGTCTCCCAATGCATTGTTGATGATGGAATCGGAATCTTTCCACACCTTCTTTGTTCCATCTCCTCCAGTCATTGTCCTTTCATATTGTCCCTTCATATTGTCCTTGTTTGAGTATTTCAATCTCCACATATTCCCCCAAATGCTTCTGGAAGAAAAGAAAAGACCAAACAGTATCTTTTGCAAAACAACACTTTCAAATTAAACATCAATATCAACTAAGAATATAAAAATTATATATAAATGATGTATGAATCAATATAAATGATAGAATAATGAAATAGGATAATTATTCATTCATACACTTCCCCCCTTTGATTCATAACATCATACTAAAATCACACTAATATCGATTTTTTTTTTGTTGAAAAATGATCAAAAAATCAAAAAGGATATTTATCCATTAATACTCCATCCAGACCCCCTTGTCCATCTTCATCTAGATCAGGAACAGTCAACAACGGCATCTGAGTGTTGTCTCCAGGCATCACTACTCCAACCTAGCTCAATATCATAGCTTTCTCAAAGGTCAGTAATAAATTACAAACATCACACACAGTGCTATCAAAGCTGCCATTAAAATCTAATCCATCACTGCTCCTACTGGGCCTAACTGATCTTGCAACCAAGTCTTCGCTGACCATCCAGCTCCTTCAGATCTACCAAACGCATCCCTTATATTCTTCAACGCATAGTGATACTATCTGAACTATCTGGAATCAAAGTATAGCTAATATTATCAATATGATCTGCCAAAAATGTTACACCATACCATGGAAAAAGTCCCCCCTTCTCTCTTAGAATTATCCTCCAATTCAACGTTGACATGTAACAACATCCTGTCCATCCATAGGGTAAGAATATATATGCTTTATCACCACAAACCCTCCAAATATCTCTAAAATTCCCACTAGTCACATTGCCAGTCAAAAGCTAATCTTTTAACCATCAAAGTCTTGCTGTTCTTACTACCTGGAACATAAAAAGTAACATTATATTTCTCATTACTACCCTTAAGGTCATGCTTACCCAAAGTTATCATATAATCATCACAATCTGATATTCCCATAAACATACCTTACATCATATGTTTTATTAGAACAAAAACAACTTTTAGCCCTCACTGCTTTCACCTCCAATGCTTCAGGGTTCGCTGTTACCTGATTTTCCTTACCGTCTAATAAATTCACATAGGGTAATTCATTTAACCAAGAACACCTAAATCTAGGCCTAAACAAATGTTTTGACAACGACATTATTTTATCTGTTACTGATTGTTGTTGCTGATACAGTCATGACAAAACATAAGACTGACACATACTTGATAGAGGTCGAGCGACCGTCTCTAAAATGTTTGGTGCTGGAATTCTCAACAGACATGGACCCTCAAGATTCCTCACTGATCTCACAGAATGAGCTAGCTGCTGGAACCAAAGATTCCTACCTGCCCATCCACTACTATCCTGTACCTCCATGATAGTATCCTTCACTATTTCAGATGAATCTATATTCTTCTCTACCACTATCTTCTCTCCTATTTTAACCCTATCCTTATTTTATTTTATTTTTTTATTTCACCTTTATTTAACCAGGTAAACCAGTTGAGAACAGGTTCTCATTTACAACTGCGACCTGGCCAAGATAAAGCAAAGCAGTGCAATAAAAACAACACAGAGTTACATATGGGGTAAAAAAACATAAAGTCAAAAATACAACAGAAAATATATATACAGTGTGTGCAAATGTAGCAAGTTATGGAGGTAAGGCAATAAATAGGCTATAGTGCAGAATAATTACAATAGTATTAACACTGGAATGCTAGATGTGCAAGAGATTATGTGCAAATAGAGATACTGGGGTGCAAAAGAGCAAAATAAATAACAATATAGGGATGAGGTAGTTGGGTGGGCTAATTTCAGATGGGCTGTGTACAGGTGCAGTGATCGGTAAGGTGCTCTGACAACTGATGCTTAAAGTTATTGAGGGTTATAAGAGTCTCCAGCTTCAGAGATTTTTGCAATTCGTTCCAGTCATTGGCAGCAGAGAACTGGAAGGAATGGCGGCCAAAGGAGGTGTTGGCTTTGGGAATGACCAGTGAGATATACCTGCTGGAGCGCAGACTACGGGTGGGTGCTGCTATGGTGACCAATGAGCTAAGATAAGGCGGGGATTTGCCTAGCAGTGATTTATAGATGGCCTGGAGCCAGTGGGTTTGACGACGAACATGTAGTGAGGACCAGCCAACAAGAGCGTACAGGTCACAGTGGTGGGTAGTGTATGGGGCTTTGGAGACAAAACGGATGGCACTGTGATAGACTACATCCAATTTGCTGAGTAGAGTGTTGGAGGCTATTTTGTAAATGACATCGCCGAAGTCAAGGATCGGTAGGATAGTCAGTTTTACGAGGGCATGTTTGGCAGCATGAGTGAAGGAGGCTTTGTTGCGAAATAGGAAGCCGATTCTAGATTTAACTTTGGATTGGAGATTCTTTATGTGAGTCTGGAAGTTGAGTTTACAGTCTAACCAGACACCTAGGTATTTGTAGTTGTCCACATACTCTAGGTCAGACCCGTCGAGAGTGGTGATTCTAGTCGGGTGGGCGGGTGCCAGCAGCGTTCGATTGAAAAGCATGCATTTAGTTTTACTAGTGTTTAAGAGCAGTTGGAGGCTACTGAAGGATTGTTGTATGGCATTGAAGCTCGTTTGGAGGTTTGTTAACACAGTGTCCAATGAAGGGCCAGATGTATACAAAATGGTGTCGTCTGCGTAGAGGTGGATCTGAGAGTCACCAGCAGCAAGAGCGACATCATTGATATACACGGAGAAAAGTGTCGGCCCAAGAATTGAACCCTGTGGCACCCCCATAGAGACTGCCATAGGTCCAGACAACAGGCCCTCCGATTTGACACACTGAACTCTATCTGAGAAGTAGTTGGTGAACCAGGCGAGGCAGTCATTTGAGAAACCAAGGCTATTTAGTCTGCCAATAAGAATGCGGTGGTTGACAGAGTCGAAAGCCTTGGCCAGGTCGATGAAGACGGCTGCACAGTACTGTCTATTATCAATCGCGGTTATAATATCGTTTATGACCTTGAGCGTGGCTGAAGTGCACCCGTGACCAGCTCGGAAACCGGATTGCATAGCGGAGAAGGTACGGTGGTATTCGAAATGGTCGGTGATCTGTTTGTTAACTTGGCTTTCAAATACTTTCGAAAGGCAGGGCAGGATGGATATAGGTCTGTAGCAGTTTGGATCTAGAGTGTCACCCCCTTTGAAGAGGGGGATGACCGCGGCAGCTTTCCAATCTCTGGGGATCTCAGACGTTATGAAAGAGAGGTTGAACAGACTAGTAATAGGGGTAGCGACAATTTCGGCGGCTAGTTTTAGAAAGAAAGGGTCCAGATTGTCTAGCCCAGCTGATTTGTAGGGGTCCAGATTTTGCAGCGCTTTCAAAACATCAGCTGTCTGAATTTGTGTGAAGGAGAAGCGGGGGGGGGCATGGGCAAGTTGCAGCAGAGGGTGCAGAGTTGGTGGCCGGGTTAGTGGTAGCCAGATGGAAAGCATGGCCAGCTGTAGCAAAATGCTTGTTGAAATTCTCGATTATTGTAGATTTATCGGTGGTGATAGTGTTTCCTAGCCTCAGTGCAGTGGGCAGCTGGGAGGAAGTGCTCTTATTCTCCATGGACTTTACAGTGTCCCAAAACTTTTTGGAGTTAGTGCTACAGGATGCAAATTTCTGTTTGAAAAAGTTAGCCTTTGCTTTCCTGACTGCTTGTGTATATTGGTTCCTAACTTCCCTGAAAAGTTGCATATCGCGGGGGCTATTTGATGCTAATGCTGTACGCCACAGGATGTTTTTGTGCTGGTCAAGGGCAGTCAAGTCTGAGGAGAACCAGGGGCTATATCGGTTCTTAGTTCTGTATTTTTTGAATGGGGCATGTTTATTTAAGATTGAGAGGAAATTACTTTTAAGGAACAACCAGGCATCCTCTACTGACGGAATGAGATCTATATCCATCCAGGATACCTGGGCCAGGTCAATTAGGAAGGCCTGCTCGCTAAAGTGTTTTAGGGAGCGTTTGACAGTGATGAGGGGTGGTCGTTTGACCGCGGACCCATTACGGACGCAGGCAATAAGGCAGTGATCGCTGAGATCCTGGTTGAAGACAGCTGAGGTGTATTTAGAGGGTATGTTAGTCAGGATGATATCTATGAGGGTACCCATGTTTACGGATTTAGGGTTGTACCTGGTAGGTACCATTGACAGCACTCTCTATCCGTACCATTTCAGAAAAGTCATTGTCGGTGTCTGTGTCATACTTCCTACATTTGTTATCGCCATCGTATCATTAATCCCTTTCCAAAGTTACCATTAAAGTAGTTGATTTAGTTGATGTATTAACACCCTTAACTACTTCTAGTGGGAAAGCTACCGATATCCTATGTGTATTATTTATTGTTGGAGTGACTACTGTAACATATTCTTCCTGAACTCCTTTGGTGACTGTGGAAACTTCAACAGACTTCAAATCTTCCATTATAAGCGTCACTTTACGAACTACATAGCCTTTTAACCAATAATTCTTAACCGGAACAAATTTTAATGCTTGCACTAGATAAGTACGCATATATTCTCCCTGATCTTTCTCTGTAACATTACGCAAAATAAATGAACAATCACTCATAACCCTCTTCCACTTCATATCGTTGTACAAACTATACCTCCTTTGACTAGCTGCAACAGCTTCTACTCCTGGTCCTGATAACAATACTTCTTCTCCCTAATTATCTCTCCATGTGGGAGGAACATCCCCTCTCCACTCCATCTCTCACATCTACAATGAAGATGAGCTGGATCACTCATCCTAACCCTAATAACAGTCTTTTCCTCTAAAATTGGTGCTGGAGCTATTGGTTCCCTTATAATCAAATGCGATATATTTATGGCTTTAATAACTATCAATGTTGCAAGAGTTAAATTGCTTCTCACTGTTGTTTTAATAGACTGACGTGTTAATGTCCTTATTGTTACTTCATCTAGTTTCCCCAAAGCTTTGAACTCCTTGCTTGTACTTCCATCTATTACCACTAGTGTCAAATGACGTAAATGTAACTTACATTCACTCTCTCTTCCTACTCTAAACCCTAACTTTTAAACTTTTGATTATAAAAAATACACCTACAATTACCTTGATCTTCCTGCTGGGAATTGTAAATATAGATACTCAATCACCCTCAATCTTCTCTTATCATTCAGCAACGCATACTTTCTCAATGCATCTGCTCCTAACAGATCCAAACTCCTACCATATCTATCTTCCCACTAAACTCTAAAATGTCCTTCACCACTGTTCTCTCTCTCTTACTACTAACTTTGAAACTTAGCTTACTGTCTTAGAGTTCCTTCAACCCTAGTTCTCCTAACTTTTTTAATCTAATCTTTTCTCCTAACCTTTAAAAACCTTTTCCACTGATTTATTCACAAAATCCCTTTACCACCAAATTTTTAGAATATGTGATTGGGAAGTCCCCACCTGCTTCTGACTTCTTTACACACAGACTTGGCAAACGACTAAACACCTTTTAGCCTAGCCTGAAATCTCTTGGTGTAAGAATGTAACCCAGAATAACAGTCACCCCTTTTAACTTTATTTTCCAGACAGATTGTCTAATAGGCAGTCTAATAGATTATCATCCTTCCTATGATATTATCTTTTTAAGCAAATATGATTCCCAAAAACCCTATTCTTTTAAAATCTTCTACCAGACAGCCGTCTAGTGTACATCTTATTGTACAGTTCAATTTACACAATGCATCTCTTCCCAACAATGCAATAGGTATATGTTCTAATATTAGTATGTCTATTTTAATTTCTCTTTGAGTTTTATAGCAGAGCTCAAGTGGTTCCTTAAGAGTAATTAGCTGTTTTACTACCTCAAATCCCTATCCTAATTAGTTAATTTTACATAGTGAGATGTTTAACCTCTTTAGGCTGAACACAGATAAAAGTTTTTCCACTATTCACCTCTCCTAGTCCTTTGTTTTTACTTCAATTGTTAGATATTTTCTCTTCTTCTCTAATCGATGCTACCAGCTGACACCCCCCTTCGTATCTTCTAGGCACCTCTAGAATCCTTGCTCCGGACCCCTGTAGGGGTTCACCTGGAGAACAGGTGATTTTGACTTGCCCCTGTATCTTCCTCTGAAATTCCCTCTAATGTTTCCTCCTGACTTATTGCACTCACAGGTAAAGTGACCAATCTGTCCACAATTATAACACTCTTCTGAAAGTTGCTGGAAGTGTAGCTGAAATCTTCCTCCTCTTCTAAGCCTTCTCGTCTTCTTCCTCTCCAATTCTGTGTCTGTCCCGAAACTGGCTGTGGATATGAAACACCTGGTACCGCCCTTGGTGGCTGGTACAATTGCGGTTGGCCTTGTTCAGTTGAAGCTGTAGCAGTGATTGTTGATTTGGTTCCCTCTGATTCTTCATAACCAAAGCTTCTCTTCTCCACCAGTTGTATGATTGAGTGTTCTGAGAGTTTCTTGATCCTGTTCTTTCTTGCTGTTGACATATCAGGATTCTTCAAAAGCTTATATTCTAAGTTCTGTCCTCGAAATATCATCTTCCATCATCTTCTTACTAGTGGCCTTTTCTTGACCTCAATGTATTCTTCTCCTCCAATTCTTGGGATTCTTTTCTCAGCAGTTTCTCCTTCTGTATCTTCTCTTCTTGAGTTGTTCATCCAGTTGTGTTACTTCTTCTAAACTATTCGCTTTATCCAGGCATGATAAGCATCGGTCTATATCTCCTTCTATTTCTTCTGTGCCAATCATTGTTGAATAAAATCCTCTTGAACATAAAGCACCTTTAATCTCTAAGTCTTCATCTTCCCGAACCTCATTCTTCTCTTAGTTTCCAGACATCTCGGTTTTTCCTTACTTCTGGAGTTTTGGATTCATTTTTATTGTCGTTTCTGCTTGTCCTCTATCTATTATTCGTTCATCTTCATCTCTGATGCAATAATCACCCTCCTGGATGATCACTGGAAGCTGAGGATAAACATCCCTAAGCTCTACTTCCTTCTCGTAAGGTGGGGGTCTTTTTGCTGAATCCGTATGTGAGAAAGGTGTACTAACTTCTGCCATTAGTTTTCCTGTCGCCTTCTCTTCCTTTAGCCTTTTCTCTATACCTTTGTTTATCTTATCACCTGGAATCTTTTATCAGTTTTTGTTTGAGAATGAAGGGCAACTTTTGTTTCATTTGCCGGATAACCTAGCACTACTTTAGTTAAAGGATTACTATTTTCAACTATATCAACCGGTGTAATGACTTTCATAGCCTTGCTGTCCTTTCTCCCCATTGTAACTACTCTTTATATTCCTTTATTGTGAATTATTTTATTTTAGACTAGTGAATTATTTTATTTTAGACTATATAGCCTATGGCTTCCCCCCTTTAATTATTAATCAACAAAAATATGAATATTAAAATATTCAATTAAAATTTTTATTCATAAAATTATTTAATTAAAATAAAAAATCTATTACAAATTATGAATAATTAAAACCAATTTTTTATTTCTATATCCTATCTTACCAATTAGTGGCTATCTTACCAATCCTAAAAACAAAGCCCTCTAACCTTACAACACTACAATTCCCATAAACCCCCTTGCTCTATAAGCACCTAATTATCTTAATTTTACAGAATAATGTCAGTACTTGATTTCCAACACAACTGCAATCAAACCCAAGTGATGCCAGAGACTCTAAAATGCAAATTTTATTCAAATGATCAGTCTGTTGCCAAGCCTCTGCGAAATTGTCATAACATCAAATATCCTGTAGGGGAAGATTTTGCAAGACCAGTACCAAAACCTTTTTGACTCGATCCTCCCCCTGTCACGTGATGTCACATCAGCACCTCTCTTTCTTTCTCCCTCTCTCTCCTCTCCTCTCGTCCTATCGTTCCTCTCATATGACAAAAGAGCATAGAAACAGAAAAAGAATTTAGCAGTCATGCAATCACTGAGTTATCCACATTCAATATTCCCCCACTCATATTCGCTCTAAGATTTAACTCAGGACTAAATAGCTCAATAACATTTTTATTTATTTTAATCCGTCATTTAATTCAATTTATTATAATCCATCAACATATATCTAATTTATAAATTCACTACATCCCAACAAATAGTTTCATTTTCAAACAGCCGCTTTAAACCTAGAAGATTCGTGTTAAAATCTCTCCTCTTTGTTCCCTCGTCTGTGTCTCTGTCTCCCCCTGCAGTGTAACAGATGTGTTGTAGTTTAGTGAAATCCCACGCATGCGCGATACATTCAAAAATACTTTTTCACCGTGGAAGGGAGTTTAACAGTCCTGCTGTACCTCCGTTTTCCCCTCATAGTCAACAACATTTAACAGCGCTCACAAAACATAGAACCTGAATTCCACACACACACAAACATAATTTAAGAGGCTTTATCCCATCGCAGTGGACCTCTACGGTCACATGTTATCATGCAGCATATTAGCATTTAGCATTAGCCTTTAGCATTAGCCTGTATGCACCATGTAGCATAAAAACAATGTACCCGACATTGCGTCTTTAATTACTTTTTCCTTTTTCCTAACTTTAGGCTGCCGTGAGTACGGATATTTTATGAGCGGTCCCCCCAAGCAGCTACCCCGTCGGATAGAAGATGAGCAGCAACTTACAATAAATCTATAACCCAACCCCAGTCCAAGACTGACCTGACAACACCTAGCGCGTTACCAGGATTTATGGCCCACCATAGGGGTCGCCTCGTTTGTTCCGAGGGCTTATCAAATCCTGCAATGTCCTAACTTGTATACATATCCTGGCCCCGATTGTTCTTGACTTCCTATTCAAGCAACACATCTCTATAGCCAATATATAGGCTCTACCCACTTTTGCGATGTTTTAAAAATTGTATAATGATTAGCCAGACCCCCCGTTCTCAGCAATAACACCACACGAGGCACATTTCGGTCCTAATGGTACATTCCTCCAGTGTACAATCACATAGCATCCAAACTAACAACCTCCAAAGCGGTAAGAAAAACTCACCCTTGTCTGGCCATGACTTCAGAACGAGTTAGCTTGGCGGCAACGAATGAAGCAAAGGAGAGATGCAGACCAGCCCCACGTTGGGCGCCATTTGTCGTATCGAGTAAATGCTGGCAATTATTGCTGATAAACAAAGGAGTCCGCTCATACTGAACCTTTGATCATAAGTTTTATTCATATCACAAGCTTTCAGCATGAGTTACAGGAGTCAAGATCCCCCGGAGAGCAGTGTTCTCGAATTGTGATGGCTGCTCTGCTTTCCTGTGCCTCCAGCATATACTTATAAACAATGTAAAAATATGGGTTGCTCCCTCTGCGGTCCAATCACCAGTCTCCCCTGGGGCGTCACCCTACAAACGGCTACTTTTGAACTAAGATAAACATCCCCTCTGGTTCCATTAAGAAAGTCATAATCTTTAATACACTACAGTTCGTTCCAGTCATTGGCAGCAGAGAACTGGAAGGAATGGCGGCCAAAGGAGGTGTTGGCTTTGGGGATGACCAGTGAGATATACCTGCTGGAGCGCAGACTATGGGTGGGTGTGGCTATGGTGACCAGTGAGCTAAGGTAAGACGGGGATTTGCCTAGCAGTGATTTATAGATGACCTGGAGCCAGTGGGTTTGGCGACGAATATGTAGTGAGGGCCAGCCAACAAGAGCGTACAGGTCACAATGGTGGGTAGTATATGGGGCTTTGGTGACAAAATGGGTACACCTCCAATTGACTCAAATTATGTCAATTAGCCTATCAGAACCTTCTAAAGCCATGACATCATTTTCTGGAATTTTCCAAGCTGTTTAAAGGCACAGTCAACTTAGTGTATGTAAACTTCTGACCCACTGGAATTGTGATACAGTGAATTATAAGTGAAATAATCTGTCTGTAAACAATTGTTGGAAACATTACTTGTATCATGCACAAAGTAGATGTCCTAACCGACTTGCCAAAACTATAGTTTGTTAACAAGAAATTTGTGGAGTGGTTGAAAAACAAGTTTTAATGACTCCAACCTAAGTGTATGTAAACTTCCGACTTCAACTGTATATGTTAAACCAAATACTTTTAGACATTTACTCAAGTAGAATTTTACTGGGTGACTTTCACTTTTACTTAAGTCATTTTCTATGAAGGTATCTTTACTTTTACTCAAGTATGACAGTTGGGTACTTTTTCCACCACTGATGAGAGCGTGTGAACACACACACAACCTCTCACGCCCACTTGTGCGTTCACACACCACACACACATACAGTTCATTTGGAAAGTATTCAGACCCCTTGACTTTTTCCACATTTTGTTACATTATAGCCTTATTCTAAAATGGATTAAAAAAAATTGTTGTACTTTGCTCCGTTCATCTTTGCCTCGATCCTGACTCAACTTCCAGTCCCTGCCGCTGAAAAACATCCCCACAGCATGATGCTGCCACCACTATGCTTCACCGTAGGGATGGTAGCAGGTTTCCTCCATACGTGACGCTTGGCATTCAGGCCAGAGTTTAATCTTGGTTTCATCAGACCAGATAATCTTGTTTCACATGGTCTGAGAGTCTTTAGGTGCCTTTTGGCAAACTCAAAGCTTCCGTCTGGCCACTCTACCATAAAGGCCTGATTGGTGGAGTGCTGCAGAGATGGTTGTCCTTCTGGAAGGTTCTCCCATCTCCACAGAGGAACTCTACAGCTCTGTCAGAGTGACCATCGGGTTCTTGGTCACCTTCCTGAAGAGGAAGAGTCTTGGTGGTTCCAAACTTCTTCCATTTAAGAATGATGGAGGCCACTGTATTCTTGGGGACCTTCAATGCTGCAGACATTTTTGGTACCCTTCCCCAGATCTGTGCCTCGACACAATCCTGTCTCGGAGCTCTACGGACAATTTCGTCGACCTCATGGCTTGGTTTATGCACTGTCAACTGTGGGACCTTATATTGACAGGCGTGTGCCTTTCTAAATAATGTCCAATCAATAGAATTTAGCACAGGTGGACTCCAATCAAGTCGTAGAAACATCTCAAGGATGATCAATGGAAACAGGATGCACCTGAGCTCAATTTTGATTCTCATAGCAAAGGGTCTGAATACTTATGTAAATAAGGTATTTCTGTTTTTATTTTTAATAAATGTGCAAAAATGTCTAAACACCTGTTTTCGCTTTGTCATTATGGGGTACTTTGTGTAGATTGTTGAGGATTTTATTTTATTTTATCCATTTTAGATTAAGGCTGTAACGTAACAAAATGTGGAAAAATTCAAGGTGTCTGAATACTTTCCAAAGGCACTGTATATATTTCCTGAGCTTTCTTATATCCCCTGTTTCTTATGATTTCTATTTTTCCATTTATGAATGTGTTGTTCAATGCGTTCAACTGGGCTATAGTAGTCAAATCATTTTTTAATTTTAATTTTGTATACCTAAAGGGGTCCTAAAATTCCAAATCAAATAGCTAAATGATCCATAGTATGACCATCTTAAAACAATTCCATGTGTCTGCTTAGAACAGCTAGGCTGCTCACGACAGCTGAAACAGAGCAGTACCCAGCCAACTGCTTTGCCCTAGTTTTTGTCAGGACCGCAATCTGGAGGCCACACACTGCAAGCCTGTGTACGTGGCAGAAACTGCCGAATATCAGCGCCACCAGCTTGCACCTACACCCGAGGCTGTCCAAGCGTGCCATGAGGGGCTGGTACTTAAACAGCTTCAAGGCCTGCTCCATGTAGCCGTCAAATGAGCAGCCCACTTCTAAAATGAGCACCTCCCCCTGGCCTCCCCCACAACAATATCTGGCGTATTTGGAACACAGGAAAACACATCATCATCAACATCAAACCTGCTTACCCTTACACAAGAATGTTAATGCATGTGTGCTGTTGGTGAGACCACTTGTCTCTGGCTATCAGTTCAACAAGGCGGTCATGTCTAGCAATGTACAAATCCTTGTATGAACAGCAGCCATTCACAACAGGGGCAATGGACTCCATTACATTTGACTAATGTAGAATACAAAATGGGTCATGGTTTGCAGGGTACCAGAGTGTTAGATTATATTTTGTTGGTAGAGTAAAGGTGAGTGTCACACCCTGGCTCTGGGGACTCTATATGTTAAGCCAGGGTGTGTAGATTCTATGTGTTTGTGTTCTGTGTTGTAGTTTCTAGTTGTTTCATTTCTATGTTGGCCAGAGTGGTTCTCAATCAGAGGCAACGAGTGTCAGCTGTTGCTGGTTGTCTCTGATTGGGAACCACATTTAGACAGGCTGTTTTCCCACAGTAGTTGTGGGATCTTGTTCCGTGTTGGTTGTGTTTAGACCTTGGACGTCACGTTATCGTTTGTTGTTTTGTTGTTCGTGTGATACTTAATAAAATAAGTATGTTTGCATTTCACGCTGCGCCTTGGTCCTCCTCCTTCGACGATCGAGACAGAAGATCCCACCATACCAGGACCAAGCAGCGTGTCCAGGACCAGGCAGCCTGGACATGGGAGGAGATATTGGACGGGAAAGGGTCCTGGACTTGGGAGGAGATACAGGCCGGGATGGATCGGCGTCCGTGGGAAGAGACGGTGGAGGCGCGCCGTAGAGAGGAGAAGCGGCGCCAACCGGGCCGTGGTCGGACAGGCGAGAGGCACCCCCACATTTTTTTTAGGGGGGGGCACATGGCATGGACGACGGGGCTGCTGGAGGCAGATAAGGGGCGAGTAGGTGGACGAGGAGAGAAGGCCACCGGGTTAAGGGAGCCATTGGTGAGAGGAGGGAAGGAAGATGTAGAGGCACGGCGAGAGGTACTGAGGTGTATTGCCAGTCCGGTCCGGCCCGTTCCTGATCCCCGCACCAAGCCAATGGTGCGCGTCGCCAGCCCGGCCCGGCCTGTTCCTGCTCCCCGCACCAAGCTAATGGTGCGCGTCGCCAGCCCGGCTCGGCCTGTTCCTGCTCCCCGCACCAAGCTAATGATGCGCGTCGCCAGCCCGGCCCGGCCTGTTCCTGCTCCCCGCACCAAGCTAATGGTGCGCGTCGCCAGCCCGGCCTGTTCCTGCTCCCCGCACCAAGCCTATGGTGCGCGTCGCCAGCCCGGCCCGGCCTGTTCCTGCTCCCCGCACCAAGCTAATGGTGCGCGTCGCCAGCCCGGCCCGGCCTGTTCCTGCTCCCCGCACCAAGCTAATGGTGCGCGTTGCCAGCCCGGCCCGGCCTGTTCCTGCTCCCCGCACCAAGCTAATGGTGCGCGTCGCCAGCCCGGCCCGGCCTGTTCCTGCTTCCCGCACCAAGCCAATGGTGCGCGTCGCCAGCCCGGCCCGGCCTGTTCCTGCCACTCGCACTAAGCCAGGGGTGCGAGTCGTCAGCCCGGTACGGCCCGTTCCTGCGCCACGCACCAAGCCAGGGGTGCGCATCGTCAGCCCGGTCCGGCCCGTTCCTGCTCCACGCACCAAGCCAGGGGTGCACATCGTCAGCCCGGTCCGGCCCGTTGCTGCTCCACGCACCAAGCCAGGGGTGCGCATCGTCAGCCCGGTCCGGCCCGTTGCTGCTCCACGCACCAAGCCAGGGGTGCGCATCGTCAGCCCGGTCCGGCCCGTTCCTGCTCCACGCACCAAGCCAGGGGTGCGCGTCGTCAGTCCGGCACAACCCGTGCCTGGGTCACCGGTGCCTGGTCAGGTACCGGTCAGCTGCTCCACACCGGAGCCTAAGCAATCCGCTCCTACGATGTCCAGTCCAGCTCCAGCCAGCGGGGCCAGACCGGACCAGGGGCGCTACGGGGGAATTGTTGGAGGGTGGTGGTCAAGCCCGGAGCCGGAACCGCCTCCGAGGAGGAATGCCCACCCAGCCCTCCCCTGTTTGGTTTATGTTTAGGCGCGGTCGCAGTCCGCGCCTTTGGGGGGGGGTACTGTCACACCCTGGCTCTGGGGACTCTATATGTTGAGCCAGGGTGTGTAGATTCTATGTGTTTGTGTTCTGTGTTGTAGTTTCTAGTTGTTTCATTTCTATGTTGGCCAGAGTGGTTCTCAATCAGAGGCAACGAGTGTCAGCTGTTGCTGGTTGTCTCTGATTGGGAACCACATTTAGACAGGCTGTTTTCCCACAGTAGTTGTGGGATCTTGTTCCGTGTTGGTTGTGTTTAGACCTTGGACGTCACGTTATCGTTTTGTTTTTCGTGTGATACTTAATAAAATAAGTATGTTTGCATTTCACGCTGCGCCTTGGTCCTCCTCCTTCGACGATCGTGACAGTGAGAATGTCCTCGCCAATGGCAGCATTCTGGTACATGGAATGGGAGACAGTGAGGTCAGCACAGTCCAGAGCAGTGAGTTTCCCCTGCAGCCTCAGGCCAGTCAAGTGTTGCAGTAGCTGCATCCGTCTGATACCAAGCCTGGATGCTGGTTGTCCTGGATGTAGGATGAGATGTTCCATCATGGATGACAGAAGCCTCCACACACACACACACACACACACACACGTGAGTGGAAATAAATACATTAATATATTTTTTATATATTACAACCCATCACAAGAAATGGGGTTGTTTATTTTAGTATTACAAGTAGCCATCATCTTGAAATTCCCTCTTGCTGAAGGCCTCGTCTCTCCTGTGAGAATATGTGCCTGTAACCTTTCTTGGACATGTCTTTAATGTACTTTAAAAATAAGCATGTTTGGTCTTGTTTGAATCAGCCCAATTCTCTGGTTATATAAATAAAATAACCATGATTGTCATAATTTTAAATTCCCATCTTTGTCTAATAAATTAAATATTGTGGAAATAGGAAAACACACCCAGCCCACAGTTCCACCCCAGACTCTGGGGCACCATATTGTCTTGCTGCTGTTACACCCATCAATCTTGACCAAGAGCAGGACACCCTTTCAAATGGATACATCCTCTCAGCCTTGATTGCCTAAACTAATCAAAGACTAACAACCCACACACACACACTCACCACTCCTTCCAGATCAAAGTAATCAGATCATGGTGACCCCACAGTTTTAACATTTTATAACACACCAAGACCCTTCATAAATCACGAGGTGAAATGTACCTATTATAAACTTAATAACCCCAGACACACCTACCTCATAAATCACGAGATGTGAGTTACCTTTTGACAGATTAAACCCTACATCAACTATTTCGTGTTTTTTGGGAGGATAATACTTATGTATTTACTTTAGTATTCTACAGTATACTACAACATTCTATAGTATGTACTACACATGACCGAGGGATACTACAGTGTATAGTATAGTATTCTACAGTATACTACAGTTTACTATATTATTCTATAGTAAGTACTGTAGTATTCTATAGTAAACTGCAGTATTTTTTCAGGTTGGGCAGACTAAGACAGAGTTCACATTGTTTAGTCCGCTCACCCCCAGCAGAGTGCAGTATAACAACAGCCAGCCAGCCAGTCAACCAGGCTGTCAGTCTACCAGGGTTTCCAACCCCCACAGAAACTGGGTTGTATTCATTAGGGCACACAACAGAAAATGTTTTAAAATATTTAAAAGTGCTTCTTATTGAACAAGTCTATGTAATCCCTCCCTGTTTCGGTCCATTTCTTCCATTTGTTTGGATTGATTACGATCCTGGTGTCCACCATGTGCTGGTTCTGGCACCGTCCTCCTCTCACTGCTCATTGACCTTCTACAAGTGTCACATCATGTTAGAAAGATCATGTTGCACATATGTGACATTCTGTCTTGATGTGTTATACAGCATGCTGATTTGGTTTCTGTCTTTCTAGACACATTGTATGCTGTCAGGTATTACTTCACCATGTGCAATATAAAGGCCCTAACTTAATTACAAAATGTATGACAATATGTTAAGACATGCCATGATGAAACAGGCCATTTGACTTATGGTAATTGGCACAGCGGCACTTGTTATGGCAACTAATGAGCCAATAGATCACATCATGGTGTCTGAATAGTAAATACAGTAGGTCAATGATGCAGACATGACATGACTGGATCTTCTTCTCCACTCTGAGGGTGCGTCCCGAATGGCACCCCTGTTCAAAAGTAGTGCACTATGTAGGGAATAACGTACCATATGGGACATAAGCTGAGACGCCACAAAGTCATCCTTTTCCTAAAAAAACTAACATAACATACTATATGTTCCTTTGGACCCCCAAAAAAACAACACCTGACAGACGTCAACAAATGTGTGGTGTGTCCTGTGCTCAACACTGCTCGCTGTTTGTATATCTTCACGATCCCGCATATCCCAGGAGGATGTTCCATCGTAGAACCCTTTACCGTGGCAGCAAGGCAGCGAGCCGGGATCGATAGCGCGATTTCCAGATAATATCCCCCTCCCATCTTCCTGGACAGTGTTATCGCTCCCGGTGTAGGGTAATAAAGCATGTGGATCATTAGTCCCCAAGCTCTGTACACAACTCTCCTAACAACAGAGAACTAATGCTGGGAAATATGGACTTATAGGCTCGGCATCAGACCTTCCTCAACCATCAACTAGGTGAAATATGACAGTAATTATAACTTATTACACAACAATTCTCTTGATTGCATATTAATATGTGCTAATACTTCATCATTGGTACCGGGTTTTGACCTGGGTGCGCACGCACACACACACACACACACATGCACACACAGAGTGACAGAGAGAGAGAGAGAGAGACCATTATTGTTTGGAGCCAATTACTATGATATATACAGCACCTCACAATTGAACCTGCTTCCTCACAATACTGTATGTAAATGAATCCATATATTAATATATGGCACACCTAATCCTACACTCTTAGAAAAAAGGGTTCCAAAAGGGTTCTTCGGCTGTCTCCATAGAATAAACCTTTTTGGTTCCAGGGAGAACCCTTTTGGGTTCCATGTAGAGCCCTCTGTGGAAAGGATCCTATATGGAACCCAAAAGGGTTCTACCTTGAACCAAAAAGGGTTCCTCAAAGGGTTCTCCTATGGAGACAGCCGTAGAACCCTTTTAGGTTCTAGATAGCTCCTTATTTTTAAACGAGTGTAGTGGTTGCATTAGAGACCTTTTAGACAAGGCTAAGTGGGATGAATTGAATGGACTTGGTGAGTATTTGGGCTTACAGTGACCATGAATGTGACAAGCTCTGTAGCTTGTTCTACCATAGCATGTGATTACATTTCTAGACATTAGTAGGGGTTGCACTCAAAAAATGTATTGTGTTACTTTTTATTTTATTTTGTACTTTATTTTATTTAGTAAATATTTTCTTAACTCCATTTCTTGAACTGCATTGTTGGTTAAGGGCTTGTAAGTATGTATTCGGCGCATGTGACAAAAATGTTTTTATTTTATTTGATCTGGTCTCGCCTCCTTCCGCCTGCCTTCCATCTTTGAGGACATGTATTTCCATTGTTAGAGCGGTCACTTGACCATCTTGTCAATATAATATACAATCTTTGGTTACAGGCAAGACTATGGGCCAAATGTCTCCTCCCCTTCCGAAATTTGAAAGATACGAACACCTGCAAAATCCGGATTTGTCCAAATAATCAGTGACGGAAATCTGCACACCGGAAAACAAAGTTCCTTTTGAGTCATTGAATCCTACAGTTTGTTGACAGATGCTACGATATGTATAAGATCTCCTAAGCCTGTGTTTACCACAGACCTTATTTTCGGCATTTATCCCCAAGAAACATTAATTTCCCCATAGGCTTTGGCCAACGAGCCATGGCGGAGTTAGCCTCTGTTAGTGCCTACAAGAAGACACCATTATTACTATTGCTCTTTTGGGTTCCAATGTACACAGCTGCAGCACTGTAAAGTTACCAATCCTCAGTCTGTCTGGTCTCTTATGGAGGTCTCTGACAGAGGATGAGTCGTGCTGGGATACTTGAGGATGCAAAGCACTGGACTAATAAATCAGGCGCTGAAACTGTCTGTACAAATTATATTCTCTTTTATTGCAGTTTTATCAGCTCAATTAATGTTTAAATAGGCTGATATTTCAAAGTGGGAATGGCAATATGGTGATAAATCATGTTAGAGGAGCGTGGCCCCCCTTTTCTCTCGGTCTCCATTTCTCTCACAGCAGAGTTCAGAGTTAATGTGTGTACCTGGTCTGGGGTTGAATGTCATTGTGTTTTTAATGTTAACAGGCCAAATACATGTTGTTGCATAACAACAGTCAGTCATCCCTCTCTCACACTCCACTCCTTTGCCCGATCATTCTCTCCTTCTTAATTTTCAGTCATGCCATACATTTGTCCCTTCTCCTTTCTATCTTTCTTGTCACTGTTTTCTCCCTCTCTCCTCTCGTATTCTCCTTTTAGTCTGCTCTCCTCTCCTCCAGTCTTTCTCCTCTTCTCTCTGATTAATTCATCATGTTTAAACAATGGGCCCCACCCCACCTCTGGGTCTCCCACACCGTTTAATGTCTCTTTACCATCTCCTCCTCTCCATCTCTCCATTTCTCATCCCTGATCCCTCACTCCCGTCATCTACACACCTTAATCACCCACTTATCCCTCTTCTCCTCCCCGTCACCCTCTTTCTTTCCTAATTTTCCTTTGACCTTCACCCCCCCCCCCCCTTCATCACTCTCTCCTTGTCTGTCGTCCTCAGACTTTTTTTCTCTCCATCTACTCCCTCCCTCTCCCAGGCAGTGAAGGAGAAATGGAATGCAATATCAACATTCCTGTGACATTTTGGGCCCCCCACCTCCCACTCCCCCCATTAGACCCCACCATTGCTCCCCAACCCCCCAGTAGCAATAATGTATGATGGTTGGTATGATGATTCTAAAAAGGACTTGGGTGAAGGAGTGAGGTGCTGGGGGTGGAGGTGGGGCTGTAATTAAAGAACAAGGTCCTGGGAGGAGAGATCAAATCAAATGCGCCGAATACAACTGGTGTAGACTTTACATTTTAGTCATTTAGCAGACGCTCTTATCCAGAGCGACTTACAGTTAGTGAGTACAAAATTTTTTCATACTGGCCCCCCGTGGGAATCGAACCCACAACCCTGGCGTTGCAAGCGCCATGCTCTACCAACTGAGCTACACGGGGAAATGCTTGCTTACGAACCTTTCCCAATAATCCAGAGTTTAAAAAATAAATAGTAACTAACACAAGAGGAATCAAATAAAATACACAAGAATGGAGCTCTATACAGGGAGTACCAGTACCAGATCAAGGTGCAGAGGTACAAGGTATTTGAGATAGATATGTACATGAAGGCAGGGTAAAGTGACTAGGCATCAGGATAGATAATAATAAGAGTAAAATAAAGAACAGAATAGCAGCAGCAAATGATGAGTGTAAAAGTGTGTGTGTGTGCATGTACTTTTGTTTGTGTTGTATGGGTATGCATGTGTGTGTTATGTGTGTGTGTGCTTATGTAGTGTTTGAATGTGTGAGGGATTTGTGTGGGAGTGACAGTGTAGTGTGTGAGTGAATGTGTGTGTGTGTGTATATGGTGTGTATATAAAGTCTAGTGAGTGTTTGTAGGATCAGTTCAAGATAGAGTCAGTGCAGATAGTTTGGGTACCATCAATTGGCTATTTAGCAGTCTGGCAATTTTTCGTGCCTTCCTCTGACATTGCCTGATATAGAGGTCCCGGATGTCAGGGAGCTCGGCCCCAGTGATGTACCCTTTGTAGCGTTTTGCGGTCAAGGGCGATGCAATACAAGATGCTTTCGATGGTGCAGCTGTATAACTTTTTGAGGATCCAAGGGCCCATGCCAAATCTTTTCAGCCTCCTGAGGGGGAAGAGGTGCTGCCGTGCCCTCTTCATGACTGTGTGGGTGTGTGTGAACCATGTTAAGTCCATAGTGATATGGACCCCAAGGAACTTAAAGCTGTCAACCCGCTCCACAACAGCCCCGTCGTTGTGGATGGGGGCGTGCTCTCCCCTCTTTCTCCTATAGTCCATCAGCTCCGTGGTCTTACTGACGTTGAGGCAGAGGTTGTTGTCCTGGCACCACACTGCTAAGTCTCTGACCTCCTCCCTGTAGGCTGACTCATCGCCGTTGGTGATCAGGCCTACCACCGTCATGTCGTTAGAAAACCTGATGATGGTGATGGTGTCATGCGCGGCCACGCAGTCGTGGGTGAACAGGGTGTACAGGAGGGGACTAAGCACATACCCCTGAGGGGCCCCAGTGTTGAGGGTCAGCGTGGCGGAGGTGTTGTTGCCTACTCTCATTACCTGGGGCCGGCCCGTCAGGAAGTCCAGGATCCAGTTGCAGAGGGAGGGGTTCAATCCCAGGGTCCCTAGCTTGGGGATGAGCTTGGAGGGGACTATGGTGTTGAACGCTGAGCTGTAGTCTATGAACAGCATTCTCACATAGTCATTTCCCCTCTTGTCCAGGTGGGAGAGGGCAGTGTGAAGTGCAACTGAGATTGCGTCATCTATGGATCTGTTGGGGCAGTATGCAAATTGAAGTTGGTCTAGGGTGTCTGGGATGATGGTGTTGATATGTGTCATGACCAGCCTTTCAAAGCACTTCATAATTACAGATGTCGGTGGCTATGCACTGGCTAGAACAATAAATCAATTATAAATCACCCCTTCCTTTCACAATGCACTCACCCCCCCTCCCAAAAAGCAATTCCGCCATGTCTTGTTAGCCCATTCGTCTTCATCAGGAAAAGCAGGAGGTTCCAACCAAACCAC